GCTCAAAAATTTATGAAATTATTGTTTTAGAAAGCTTAAAATGTAAATAAAACAAAAGATAAAAAAAAATATTAAATTAAAATTTCAATTTCTTAGTTTTAGTTTTTTTTTTTTTGTCACATTTACTAAATTAACTAAATGAAATTAATAAAATTAATAATAGAAATATGATAAAAAAAAAATTAAGCTAAGCAAATAAATGGATTAGAAATGCAAAGAGTGATGGACAACCACCTGTAAGTGGTTTTTAAATTATAAGCAATTTGCGAATAAGCTTATTATGCAAATTAGACATGGCGATTTCTCGATGGAAATTATACATTAATTATTTTGCAGTTAGTCATTGTTGTGGTAATGTGCTTTGATTATTATATCGTTCGTTAAAAATTATAATTAAAATTTTCAATTTTTAAAATTTGAAAAAAAAAATAAACAAATGAAGAGAGAGAGAGAGAGGGAGGGAGAGAGGGAGAGAAGAATTGATAATGTCAAAGCATTGAATGAAAAAAAAAAAAAGAGGTACAAATTACGAATAAATTAAAAATGAATTTGTAATGAAAAATTAACAAAAAGAAAAAAAAGGAAGAAAGAAAATATGAATTGAAAAAAGAGAGGAAATGTCAAATTTTGATAAAATTTAAACAATTAAATGAAATTTTTTTTTTTTTGAACAAATTTTTATTTTCATTATTTATCATTTACTTTTCAAAAATGTTATTATTAATAATTGAATTCATTAATAATTTCATCATTGCTAATTTGATATTAATAAAATTAAATGAAAAAAAGGTTTGGAGGAAGTTTTGTTATGAAAAACATTAAAAAAAATAAAAATAGAAATTAATTAGCAAATAATCATTGCTATTATTAATTGTTATTGTCGTTGTTGTTATTGTTATTGTTGTTGCTGTTTTGTTATTTTGTTATTGTTATTATTATCACTACTGTCTACGCTACATTTTATTAATGTAGAGTATTTGATTTAACACATGGAAGAATAGCATTTATTCCATTGTTAATTACTTACTTACTTATTTACTTACTTACTTACTTCATCATTCTTTGACTCTTTTCTTTTCTCTCTCTCTCTCTCTCTCTCTCTCTTGCTGTCTTTCTCTCCTAATATGAAATTCAAAAATCGATTAAAGGATGTGAAAATCATGAATGGGGTAATTGAAAAACACATCAAAATTGACACTCCTAATTAATCTCTTTTGCAAAAAGACATTTTCTATGCTGGCGGGGGGGAGGAGGGGGGGAGGAGGGGGGTTTAGATGATCATAAAATTTTATTAGCTTTAGGATTAAATTTCATATTCCTCATTTGAAATATTCAACGAATAATTAAATGTAACCTATTATTTGTCACAGTAACTATTGAATTTTAAGCAAATCTTTTCATTACTATCTTTTTTTTTCTTTCCTTTTTGAATGTTTAATATGCAAAAACAATTATAGTCTTACAGCTAATATTAATTTAAATCTGATTTTAAAATGCAAAATTATATAATTATTTCAAATTTGTAAAAGCAGTAAGAGAAAAAAAAATGAAAGTAAATAAAGTAAGTTAATTATAATTTTTGCAAGAGAATTATTAAAATATCAGAAGAAAGTAAAATTTATTTTCCAATTATCTTAATTAATATGATAAATTTAACTTAGATATTATTTATTAATTAAATGTTCAATAATTTCATTCGTTGCAAATGATAACATTGTCAAAGAATTTGTTTATTGTAAACGTCGTCAAATATTTTTTTAAATTTTTATATTTAATTTTGAAAAAAGAAAAAATAAAGATGGAACAGAAAGAATGAGAAAGAATAGTGGTTGAGATTACAAAAATTAAAATTATAAGAAAGATGGAAGTAAATAATTAATATAGAATAAGTGAGAGATGCGGAAAAGATAACAAATAGAATTATCAATAGAGCAAAGCTGAACGTTAGATAAAATTAACAAATAAATTATTTATTAAAACTATTCAGTTAAAAGGGATCAGTTTCATATTTCATAAATTAATTTCATAAAATTAAATTTGTATTATCAATTCTGTTTCAATTTAAACTATTATAAAAATATAGTCTTAAGAATTTAATTGTTTCATTTTATTTAAACTATTATTCAATTGAAATTATTAAACTATTATTAATTTAAAATTGTTATTAAATCTTTGGGCTAAAAATATTTCAAACCCAAAATGGCATATCAGCAAATTGCAATTTACAAAGTAAAAATAAAGTAAAAATATTAAAAAAAAAAAAATATATTGAAATTGGCAATAATATTGCGAATTGATTTTGAAAGTACAATTTGTCACATTGAATGTCCTTAAGGACAGACAATGTGACAAATTGAGCGTTGTGTGACACTCTGTTTCTCTTTTTGTTTTTAAATTAGAAAATAAAACGAGAAAAATTAAGCTGAAAGGGCAGATAGCATCACGTGAATCACGCAAGGAACATTGCATGCATAAGCATAAGATGCAGCATGCAAGCAGCACGGAATGCATGACATGAATGCATGACTGCATCGTCGTGCAGTATCATTCGTCTTAGCCAACAAAGAAAAAAGAAAAGGAAGGAAATGAATGTCATCAGATGGTCATTATCATAAGAAAAGCTGGCACTGGACACTTACCATTGGTCACTATGCAATGTTAGCAGAATGATATCACTGCTAGCAATGAATAAAATTCATAATTTCTTTATAAATCTTTTTTAAAAAAAAAAAAGAAAAAAAAACGATTTAATGTTAGCATATAAATTCATTTATAATGAAAAATTTTGAAAACATAATTTGTAAAAAAGAAATATCACATATTAAATGCTACATATTTACTTAATTAGCTTAAAAATAATTTGTCAAATTAATTTATTTTGATTTTTTCAAATTATTTTAATTATTTTTATACAAATTTATAATTATTATATTCCATAATGTAAAAATAAAATAAGATTATTTGTGAATATTAATGATATTATAAATTAATTTTAATTAAACAAATTTTTTGTTTTTTATTGATTACAAATAAGTTTAAAAAATTTTAACAAAGTGGTAAATAAAAAATTAGTTAGAAAGAAAAAAAAAAGTGTGCAAAGATATGAAATTATATATTTTAATTTGACAAATGAATAGAAAATTTTTGAGAGAAATATACGAAAATTTTTTTGTCATTTAAAATTTTAAATGATAAAGTTTGAAATTTAAGATGTTTGAAATGGTAAACTTAATTCGATCAATGAAATGCATTAAGATAAACAAACATATTAAAAGATAGAATAAATGGATATCGTTATCTGTTAAGAATTATTATTATTATAATTAAAATTTAAGTATTATATTAAAATTGTTTATTTTTTTATTATATTGAAATGATTACAATTTTATCTTATAATGATTTTATCCTAAAAATGAAAACAATTTAGTTTACAATGTTCATTTAAAAGGAGAATGAAAAGGAAATGAAATTTGAAATGTTTCTATGTGCTGCTATCTAAATACACAGGATTATCGAAAGATAAGTAGTAAAAATTGTTCAATTCAAAATTTTAAAATTACTAAACTTCTTTTGAATTCTAGGATAGATCTGAATAAATTGCAATTCGATTATTGAATTTAGCCATTGCTTTTGTTATATTATTCATTCAGAAGGAAAATTTGCAATTTTATTTTGAATTTCGACACTAAAATTTTCAATTGAGTTAATTTACATTCAAATTTATATTATCAATTAAACATTTAATCATTCATCCCAATAACATTTATCATTTAATGATGTGAATGAAATTTTTAATTTCTCTTATCCCAGTAATAACAATAAAAATTTTTAATTTAATCTAAAACTGTCCTTAAAAATTTAATTTTATAATATTGAAATTTTAATAGCAAAGTTATATGTAAAGTCAATGATAATTTTTTGTAGTAGCAAATGAGATGGTATATTTTAAAATTTCCATTATTATAATATTTTGATCTTTTATTTTTAAAATTTTTTTTTTTTTTTTAAAAAAACGAATGCATAAGTTAAATGGAAATGATACACTCTAATTCATAGTCATTTCGTGTTAATTTCATGGCGATTTTTATTAAAATTTCATTAAAATTGATCACATCTTGTCCTAATCAATTATTTTTAATTTCATTTATATAACTTTCATCACAAAATTTAGTTTATTGGTGTGACATTACCGCCAAAAATATAAACGTCAACATTTATCGATCCATTTAATAATTAGTGGAAATTTTTAAATTGATATTTTAAAATGATTTTGAAAAATTTTGAACTAGAAACCATCGAATGATGAATTTTCAGAAATACATTGAATATGTATGTGTGTATGTGTACGTATGTACACGTATATAAGCATACATTTGTGCATGTGTGTATGTATATGTCTGTGTATGTATGTATGTGTGTGTGTGTGTGTGTATGTGTGTGTGTGTGTGTATGTGTGTGTGTGTGTGTATATGTAATTTAAATTTTAATTGAATAATTTTCATTCAAAAATTTTTTCTTATTTTTCGTGTTCATGGAAGGATAATTTTAAAATTTGAATGTAATTTGCATATGTATAATTGATGTGTAATTAAGTTTAATTTGCTAATTAAGCAATTGCATTTCATTTTAATCATTTATATGTGTAATTCATTTCTGTACTGCAAAAAGCCATACAATATATTTCAAAAAATTTTTAATGCATAATAAAATGAGTGAATAAATTTGGAATGTGATGAATAGGAATTGATTAAATGGACTAATTAATTAAATGATATAATTAGTAAAAGAAGAGAAAAAAAAACAATAGAATTTCCAACAATTGTACCTCTGAACATTAAAAATTTTTAAGTGTAAATAAATTTTATTTTTATTATTACTTTTTATTTATTTATTCTTTGTTTTTTTTTTAAATAAAGAGGGGGAATAATTAGGATAGAGCTGATATGATATTGTGATTATAAAATTGATGAAATTGTTTTGTTGTCGATAAATGCCATTTTTCATTTCCTAAAAAAATAAATAATATTAATTCAAACAAAATATCAATATTTCATTATTAAAAATTAAAATGCATTTATAAATACTATTTAATTTTGTTTCATTTTTCTTTTTTTTTTGCAAATGCTAATAAACTTTTATTATCTTAAAAAAAATTATAAATTTAAATGTTTACATAGATATTAATAATGAAAAAGAAAAAAAAAAGAACAAATTTGATTAAATTTTTTTTTTTAATTTCAAATTTATTTTCACTAACCATTTTTTATGGCAATTTTGTGGTAACAGTTTCGGTTGCAGTTGTTGTTTCCGGTTTATCTTCCTTGTGCAGTTTAATCTCTTTCGGATGATGTTCAGCAGTTTCCGTTTCATTTTGACGTGTTTGTTCATCTTCAACAGTTGCTCGTACTCTCAGTAATTTTGGTTCACTTTTTGCATGCTCTTTGGTTGGTTCATCATCATCACCATGATGATCATGTTGATGTGCGACATTTGGTTGATCGTTTGTTGTCACCTTTTGATCATTGTATTCCGTAACATTCACCTTATCATCTTGTGCTTCAGCACCGATCACTTCAAATGCTAGTCCTGGATCACTGGTCAATTGCTAGAAAAAAATTTTTAATTAGAAAATATAATAATTAAATTTTTTTTTTTTTATGTTAGTTATAAAGAAAATTATTTGTTTAGTTTTTTTATAAATTATCCTATCATTAATATTGTTTAATATGCAAATAAACATACCGCTGAGATGAAATGAAGTGAGAGAAAGATGAGTAGCAGTACGTATGCCATTGATGAATTAATTTAAATTGTTTGTTTGTGACGGTAATGAATTGAAATCTGCTAATGATTGTATTTTAATGTTCAAATTGTATAATTAATTTTTTTCTGCTTTTTGAGGATTAATTAAGCGTTCAAATAAATGAAATAATTTATTTTTTGGAAACAAAATGATTATATTTGCTGCTAATAGTTTGTATACTTTTTTTTTAATTTCTTTACAATTTTACAAAAATTAAAATATGATGTAATTTAATTTTAATTGAAGAAAGGACAATTTAAGCAAAGGTAAAATGTTAGAATTAAAGAAAAGTGATGAAGAGGATTTGGTAAGAAATTGGCAAAAGTGTGCTGCTGGGAAGATGATCGTGAAAGAAGGTCAACTGGACTATAAGTGGACCATTCGACCAAATGACCCTTCGTCATTTGAAGAAAGCTTTAGTAATGGCATAAGCCCAAATGACATTCGTCCCACTGACCAATTCAGCATCAAACTCCGCCTATCTATGCAGTTGCCCAAAATATTCGATCAGAGATTAGAAATGTATGTATATGTACAGAATAATGCCCGGGAAATGGACAACAATAATGCCCGGGAAGTTAATAGCAGTAAACAATAAATACCCGCGAAGTTCACAGAAGCAAACAAAAAAAAAATATTTGATAAATATGAATGAATGTTATCTATTACTTATGATTTAGTCAAATATTAGTTAACAACAACAAATGAGATAATATTATTTATAATAATATTATTATTGTTGGCAGAAATTAATAAAATGATTAAATGATTTAAAAGTAAAAATTTTTAAAAAATTAATTGGAAAATTTTTGCAAACAAATTAACTTCAATATTTATTATTTCATTTTAATTTTCAAAGTAAACATTGCAAAACAAGAAACAAAAAAAAAAAATTATAATTTAATTTTACAAAAAGAAATTAAAATTGTGTATTATGTTAAAATATTTAAACTGTATTCATTATATAAATTTTGAAATTTTTATAAGTTTTGGAAAATTTTTTAAATGCAAAGGATAATGCAAGAAGAAAAAGTAAAATGAACGAATATTTCAACTCTTTTAATGATTAGCAATTTTTTAAAAATTTTTCAAATTTGAATTTGTTTAGTTTACTTGTTCAGTTCAGCAAATAAAATTGTTTAATTGTTGGTTAATTTAATCTTAAAAATCTTTTTTTTTTGCACTTAGTTTTAATAATACAAAATATTTTAAATTATTAGTTGTAATTACATATGATATGATTATCAATAGCTATCACTTTTATCATTATCAACAAATTATAATTCAGATATTCACTTTCATACACGTACATGTAGTAATGCTAATGCTAATTATATTAAAAGTTCATTCTCAACTGTTAAAAATTTTTTAAATTTATTTTTGACAATTTACGAGGACAGTCTTAAATTCTGCTTATGCATTAATTATGCTAAATGTGATTAATATTAATTTATTTACCAAACTAGGCTATCATTTAATTAGACTAATATTACTTAGACTAGGTTATCATTTAATCAGTACTTAGACTAAGCTATCATTTAATTAGACTAATATTACTTAGACTAGGTTATCATTTAATTAGACTAATATTACTTAGACTAGGTTATCATTTAATTAGACTAATATTACTTAGACTAGGTTATCATCTAATTAGTACTTAGACTAAGCTATCATTTAATTAGACTAATATTACTTAGACTAGGTTATCATTTAATCAGTACTTAGACTAAGCTATCATTTAATTAGACTAATATTACTTAGACTAGGTTATCATTTAATTAGACTAATATTACTTAGACTAGGTTATCATTTAATTAGACTAATATTACTTAGACTAGGTTATCATTTAATTAGTACTTAGACTAGGCTATCATTTAATTAGACTAATATTACTTAGACTAGGTTATCATTTAATCAGTACTTAGACTAAGCTATCATTTAATTAGACTAATATTACTTAGACTAGGTTATCATTTAATTAGACTAATATTACTTAGACTAGGTTATCATTTAATTAGTATACTTAGACTAGGCTAACATTCATTTCATACTTTTTCTTTCTCATTTTGGGTTAAAAAAAGCATCGATATGAGCAATCATAAACTGTTCACTGTGCAAAATTGAAAAATTCTCAGTCAATTAATTAATTAGTTGTAAATATTACAATGCTAAAATTATTAATCAAACTTAATATAAATCATCAAATAAAAAAGAAATTTTTATAAAATTAAATTATTTACATTGAATTCAAATTTCACTTTGCGTGTATGGCCCGGTTAGCTCAGTCGGTAGAGCACCAGACTCTTAATCTGGCTGTCGCGGGTTCGAGCCCCGCATCGGGCTTTCCGTACCCCAACTTTTAACTTTATCTTAAATGTTTTTGAAATGATTTCCTTTATATGCTTACTTTCTTTTTGTTGTCAATTTTAATTTTCCACTATTTATTTTTTATTTTATTTATTTGAATTGTAAGAAAAAAAAGAAAAAAAATTGAATTTAAACAATTTGTTCCTTTAATCATTGTAAATATTTGCTATTTTGTGCTAATCAGAATAGTCTAAAAAAAAAAAAGAAAGAAAGAAACTTATGATAACAGTTATCTTATCATTTCTACAATCTATATCGAATGCTTTTATATATTAAGAATGAAATGTATACACAAAGGTCACTCGAATAGTTTGAGCAAAAAGATTTTATTATTGATGATGTTTGGAACTGATAAAGGTCACTGATAAATGTCGGACAGTTTGATTGGATGGGATATGTTGATTGATCGTTGTTGATGTGTAATATCTCAAGGACAATCCATATCCATCGGAATAGTTTCAAAGAAGAAATATCATTAATTATTTCTCATTTATCTTTTCATATTTTAATATTCTTAAAATTTGTTATTATATTTAAAAAGAAGAAGGAACAAAGGAAAAAAACATCAATGAAATTAATTAAAAATTTTTCTTTGCGATAATTTTTTAAAAATTAATGATGACAAAATTTTAAAATATTTTTTTTTAATAATTCAATCACATGATAATGGTTAATTGTTAATGATAAATGATAACAAAACATATTTCCATATCAATCTTATCAATCTCATACCAGAATTAAATTATATTATGAATTAATTTTTTTCTTTATCTGGCCACACATTATACTCAAAAATAAATTTGATAAATTAACTGAGATTAATTTTGTCGTACAATAATGAAAAGATTGGTAAAATTAAAGCAGTAAAAATAATTTTTTTTTTCCAAAATGGCAAATAATTCACAAAATAAAACTAAGCTTTTGGAATTAAATTAAAACTTAATTACAAATTGATTTATGCAAAATATTATGCACAGCAAACAATAATTTTACTTTTCTTCCCTTCTCTTTTCTGATTTTATTATATACACATATACTTAAAATTCAGCTAATTTTAATCAAAGTATAATTCAATTAAGCAATAATCTTCTAAATGAACAATTAATTATATTTTTAAAGCATTTTCAAAAATTTTCCAACCGCAATAAATATTTCATTTGTGTTGCAACTTTATTACTTATTATTAAAGTATAAAGTAACTTGGAGATTTCTTCAAATAATTAACCTAACCTATCCACTTTTCCTCTTTTTTGTATAATTTATTTTCCTATATCATTGCTGATTTGCCTTGCAATTCATAGAATTCCAATTTATATTTCTCTTTTAATAAATGAAAAGAAAAAAAACAAAAAATTTTCATTTCATCCTCATATTCTCATTTTTTACTTTATAATTCACAAAAAAAAAATTTATCAATAAATTTAGAAATTTATTGATCGCTTAGATTAAAATATTTTATAGTTAGCTAAACTAACATTTAAATTATTCGAATGTTAACAATGTAATTACAAAGTTAGTAGTAGTAGTAATAGTTCAACAATTTATTCATTCGCCATTAAAGGATAATTTGCCTTATTTCTTAGAATCATTAATCTTTCATAATGGTCCTTCAATCGGTTAACTAAAAGACATTTATTGAACATTGGGGAAATTTAACTTTTCTCATCGAACTAATCTCGAATTCATTTTCAATAATGAGACAACTGATCATTATTTCAGTGTATGCAAAATTTTAATCTTTTAAAAAATTAAAATTCACTCATTAGCTTTTTAATTTTCATATATTTCTAAAATAACATATAAAATTTCTAATTTTAGTATTGCTTGAAATTGCACCAATAATTTAAATAATAAATATTCAATTTCAATACTAACTTCAAAATTTTCATTTTATAAAACATTTTATCATCATAAAGTGACTCTATCTCCGTTCATTAATGTCATTTTAAAATGCTCTCAAATTTGAAATAATATTATTAATTAATACTTTGTGTTACACTGCTCATCGATTTGTTCACAATGTCCAAAATGCATCAACATTTTAAGCACAAATCGATAACACAACCCATAATAACAACCACTAACCTTTGACCTTGGTGAAAAGCAGACACACATATACAATTATAAAAACAAACCAAGCATTATTATTATTTGTAATAATTTAATGTATGAGAATAGATGAAATCAGTTAGCACATTTCATCAGTTATTAATTTTTATATATTTGAAATTGTAAATTTATTGTTAATCTGAACTGTAAATTTTAAAATGTAAAGTGCATTAACTTTCAAAATTTATTTAATTTCATAATTTAGTCAAAATTTAAGCAATACATAACAAATATTCTGATATTTATCAAATCAAATCTATCGTTTTTTTTCCCATTTTATCCCTTAATTTTATATTACCTATTTTATTTATTTAAATTATTCGATCCGATAATGATTTTTCTTCAGTTTACTGAATTACTTTCTCATATAAGCATTAATCAAATCATCAATTGTTGAAATTGTTGGATTAACAACATTATAAAATAACATTTGTGTTCCGTTACAGTTTGGAAGATAAAGATAAAGTAAGAATGTTGCCTAAATTTATGCATAATTAACTGTATGTAAGATATATCATTGAAAAATAAAATTTAAAACAAAATTTTGCTAAATTTTTCATTACAATTAAGAGGATATTTATACTGTTACATCATGATTATTATTATTATTATTATTATTATTATTATTATTATTATTATTATTATTATTATTATTATTATTATTATTATTATTATTATTATTATTATTATTATTATTAATATTATCAGTATTGCTACTATTTTATCTAGTTCAATAGATTATATCTTAAATTATAAAAAATTTTTCGAACTTGTCAAAAAGATATTTCATTTCAAGAAATTTGAAAAAAAAATTTTTTTTTACTCCGAACAAAAATTATGTAACACTTTTTGTTACATTCCCAAATTCAAGAATAAATAAATGATTTAAATATAAGTTTAAATTTCTTAACATCAAATAATTTCACACCTTAAATATCCAATATATGGGAAAAAAATGTGTAATTACAGATGCAATAGAATCAGCTATAGAAAATGTAGCAAAAACTGTCCAATACATTAGCCATTGTGTGTCATCGTCTTTATTTGGTGTACGAATTGCCTAAATTTATTATTTTATTTTTCATTTTCGATGACATATATTAATTTTTGAAATTATTTTTTTTTTTTTTGAAAATTTACTTTAACAGATGCATAAGCTGGATAAGCAAATCCAAAAATATTACAAATTAGCTCAGCAAAACATCCAAATAACAAGTAAAAAGCCAATAGAACTAAAATTACATAGAGCAACTGAAAAAAAAAGAAAAAGTTAACATAATAACAGATAAGTTTAAAAAGGAAAAAAAAAATCAAAATAAAGTATGAGATATTGAGAAAGTTTTTGAAATATATTTTACAAACTATGAATATATAAAAGATAAAAGTTAAATGATATTAAAAAATAGAAACTTGTTCTCGGTTAGCCTTTAAATCAACTGATGAAAATAAAGTATTCAAATTTGCATAACGTTTATTATACAGAAATGCAAATAATTGCGGTTTATGTGTTACGCCATGAAAGATTCGCTCTGATCCACTTAGATCTCTCTCATCCAAACTTACATTCGAGGATGTTTTATTAGCTTCAATTAGCATTGCCATCTTTAATCAAAATTTTTATTTATTTATCATTCATTTTTTTTTTTTTTTGTTTTCATCTGATCAAAGTAAATTATTCATTTACTAAGTAAACAGAAGGAACGTCCAATCTTATGATATACAATTATAATTTACAATTTATAACATTAATGTTATATTTTGTGTAATAATTATTAAAGAATTAGAAATTCTTAAGTGAATACAAAACTCACTAAAATTTGTTTCATAAAATAATATAAATTGCAATGGATAATAAATGAAACCTCAATAATAACCTCGTAAATTAGTAGTTGCCACTTTAAATAATAAATGAAAGCAAATTAGTAATAACTGCAAATAGGAAAAGGAATCATTTACAATAAGAACTAAGTTTATATACTGTATAGAATCTTATGAATTAACAAATTTGCATACAAACCTAAATTAAAATCATTGTAATCTTGCAGCTATTAGCAAGTGGTCATTTTTAGGTACGTAAAGAAAAATCTATGAACAAAAATCTATGAAAAATCTATGAACAGTTTCCCAGAATTTAAATATATTGCGATTTTATGAATTTTGGTATTTCTCAGGATTCAAAGATACTAGAAATTTTACAAAGTTCCAGTTTTCAAGGGATTCAAATATAATACAATAATGAAGTAAAGAAAACCGGTAATTTAGCTGCATTAGATGTTTTAAATCTTAAAACTCTCTTCCATTCACTGTATTTTGTTATAAGTAAACTTTAAAGCAATGAGTGATGCAATCTGTCGAGCAGGTATAGGGCGGTGCTGGGTGATTGAAGAAGTGGTGTGGATGATCCTTCACTTTTTTTTAAATTTTTTAAAAATTTTGATTTCCTAGCATTTTTCGAAGTGTTAGTTTTCTCTTCTGTAACCATTTGTTTACAATATGTTTAGTAGTGTGTATGATAATCTTTCATTTTTCCTCTAATCAATTTTTCTTTAGCTTTCTTAGTTTCTCATCTTTCCATATTCTCATTCTTCAATGGTTATATAAAGTATTCATTAGCGATAGATAGCTATGGCTCTTTTACATATTCATCAGCGATAATTATATATCTTCAAATTAATTTAGCAAATTGGTTATTCGTCGTCGTTATTTATCTTTCTTCTTCATTCTATCAAAAAATCATTTCTAAATTTATGTTATTCCAGGATTGAAACAGAAATGATTACTGATGAAAGTTTAAGGAAAGATGATGAAGAATCGGTTAGTTCTGATGTGAATGTAGAAGATGAGGAACACATGTAAGTTTCTTTTTTTTTCTACAGAACAATTTACAGTTACTATATGTTATCCCATCTTATTCATTTCTCATTCTAATGTCGAAAATCTTTCCTTAATATTAGCAATTCTTGTCATTCCTACCAGTAGTATTCAAGTATTTTCTGTTTTGAAATGGCTTCATTTCCGATAATAAAGTAGAAATATTTAGCTTTTGGCATTAAATAATAAGTGTGATATGTTGAGAAAGCAAAATATTTTTAGTAATCCTCGAAATAATTATTCGGAATCATTTCTGGAAGATGGACATGGAATCGTTTTTGGATCACAAGAACAAAAGTAAATCAGTTGATTATTTCATTGTAAGTAAGAATTGCTTCTAACATCACAATCTGACTTCATGTGTTTAATATTGTTTTAGACTTATATATGATGGTTTACTATTGAAATATCTGAATGGTGAAATTAAATCTCTAAGTGAAGTTTGTCGACTTGTAAAGGATCAATTAGGACTTGAAATTTCTGCTCCTACGCTATCACGACGTTTGAGACATATTGTAAGTTGTCATCATTTCATCACTTTTAAATGTCACAGCTTTTGTTTTCCTTTTTTTTTACTTCCAGTTGAACATTATTTTATTCGCTGTGTTTTGAATTTCTCCACCAAAATATTTCATACGAATAGGTGGCTGTGTTTTGCACAGTTTTATTTTTGTTTCTGTTGCAGAATAGAAATGCAGAATCAAGTGATGAACAGGAAAGGAAGTAAGCTTTTTTTAAAAAAAACTGCTTTCGGATTATACACAAAAAAGTAAATAAGCTTACTCATTTGATAGAAATAATCTTATTAAGGAGGAAGATGGGTGTATTGAAAGGTTTCACGATAATGCAGCGTGCCTTGTCGAGTCGTTACAATGCTTCTTTGCTGACAGTGATGGATGATAAAACAAAGGAAATTCGGCAGTATGCATACATGAAAAGTTCCGTGGATGGGCGTAAAGAATATTATCGATGCAACAGATGTTTGCGAGCTAAACGGAAAAGTGGACCTGGTGCTCAAGCATCTATAATAGTTTACGATGGTGAAATAATTGGTGATAAACCGCCGGAGCATCACGTTGATTGTGAACCAGTGCCATATGAAGAAATCGCTTCAATAACCAGCCAGCGCGAAAGTCGCGCATACGAAAGGGAGGAAAACGAACAAGTGCGCCAAGTGCTGCGTAACAGACAGCTACTGTTAAAGCAGGTACTTTAAAAAAAATTTTCTTGAAGTTCTTATTTTTTGTCCGTTATTGCATTCTGTCTTTTCTTTATTCCTTTTTCCTGCTTTATAAATGCTTATCATTAGATGTTTATGCAGTTTACTATATATATATGTGTTCTGTTTAACTTTCGGATTTTTTTCATAGACATTGTCTTTTTTTTTCATAAATATTATGATAATTGGTTTAGTGCTCTATCGATCTTTAATTTATGATATAGCTTGTACGCTTTATATTCAGACGGAACCATTAGAACCGCCTGAACTTTCGCCAATGGTAGAGGGTGATGAATTAGCAGAATTTGATGAAGAATCAACTGGTGCGGGATTTGCTGAGTCTCAGAGGCAAACAGTCGATGAAAAGGTAATGATTTAAAATTGTTCCGTAAACTCAGAGCTTTTCATGACAGAGAAATTGTTTCTGTAAACCTTTTTTTCTCATTTTATCAAATTTTCTCCATACGGTAAGTTTTCGAAGGAAAGCTGTCTTTATTTTTTCAGAAAAAACGAATGGAACGAATTTTGTCGGCTGTTTTACTTCTTCTCGATGAACTTGATGGAGAAAATTTGCTAACTGTTATTGAAGAGGCACAATTTCGTGTTGCAGAATTACCTAGAAGGTCATTGTTAAGGTGATAGTTCAGTGGTAGTAGTACTTTTTAATGTACTTTTTTGCTCTGTGAGTAACGAACTTGATTTATCATTCACAGTATCGTTCATTTGAGTCGTAACATCAATTTAGTGAGTTTATAATCGTTTTCAGTTTCACTAACAGTGATATAACTATGAATTGCTTTAATCTTGTCGTCTTCTTTTTTGCTTTCGCAGTTTTTAATTCAGGAGCTGTGTTATCTCATTGTTACAGCTTTATACTAATGCATATACTTTTATCTAAGTTACTGTTTTGGATAACATAGCTGATAACTTGGACAACACGAGTGATAATGGAGGGAGAAGTAAGATGAAAATAGCATACTGAAAATGACAATATTCCGTCAAAATTTGCGAAATGTTTTATTTGTTTCGAAATAATTATAATATATTTCTCATTTCCTAGTGAGAAATTCTGTGAAATCTTATCTTTTAGAGAGATAAAAGAAAATTAGAGTATCCACCATTCATATTGATCACAAATATGTAATAATAAATTTATAGCATTAAAGCATCTTCATGGAGTTGTGCTTTTTTTTTCTTCCAGAACAAGGCTTTTCGGATAATAGTGTTAGAGTTATTTTATTCACTATTTTTGATATTACAAGGCATATATATTTCACAACTTTTAATACTCAGTAACTTTAAAAAGTGGTAAAGTAGGATTTTTGTTGGTTAGCTAAATTATCAGCTTTAACAATTTGATTGTATTAAAGAAAAAATACTTAAAATTGCATGTTAGCGATATAATTGTTATAGATATTCTAGCTAGTCTTATCTATGTTTTCTTTCATTTTCTTTTCATCATCTCTATCATATATACCATGTCCATAGTGTATGATATTTATATATATATATATATATTTAAAAAATTATGTTTTACCAACATTGCCAAAATTTCAAGCATCATTTCATATCGTTTCAAAAATGAAGTTTTTTTTGTTCTTTTAACTTTTATTTCTCTGGATTTGTTTATTTTCTACGTTTACTTTGTTGGCTGTGAAGTTTTGCTACTGCAATTAGATCCATCTGTTTTTCAACGTCTTTATTTACTTACTTTTTATTAATTTACATTTATTAGGTTCAGTAATATTTTACATACAGCAGTGTGTTGTTACATTCATAATAGCATATTGTCACCTAATGACATCATTCTGTAGGAATGGTTGAAAATGTAGCATATTATGTAGGTTATTGTGCACTTCACACATATTTTGGTATCTGAGACATTCTTTTTTTATTCTTTTATATCAATCACAACAACAAATAGAGTATGAAATCGAATAACAACTATTAGAATAATGTGAATTACAATTTAATTTAGTCATTTCATGGGTTACGTAAGTATCGTAATATTATCAAATCAAAACATTTCCATCTTAACAGATTCTTAACAGATCCGATCTTACTTTCTATACTATGACTGTTGGCAGTAAGGATAGTAATAACAATGGCATAGATTGCAGTAATGGTCATGAAGATGACAAGAATAACTGTAGCAGTATCTCTAATATAATTTATGTCCCTAGCATATTCCTATCGAAAAATCGATTCGATGTTTCATTATTCATAGATTTTTCCTTAAGTACCTAAAAATGACCACTTGCTAATAGCTGCAAGATTACAATGATTTTAATTTAGGTTTGTATGCAAATTTGTTAATTCATAAGATTCTATACAGTATATAAACTTAGTTCTTATTGTAAATGATTCCTTTTCCTATTTGCAGTTATTACTAATTTGCTTTCATTTATTATTTAAAGTGGCAACTACTAATTTACGAGGTTATTATTGAGGTTTCATTTATTATCCATTGCAATTTATATTATTTTATGAAACAAATTTTAGTGAGTTTTGTATTCACTTAAGAATTTCTAATTCTTTAATAATTATTACACAAAATATAACATTAATGTTATAAATTGTAAATTATAATTGTATATCATAAGATTGGACGTTCCTTCTGTTTACTTAGTAAATGAATAATTTACTTTGATCAGATGAAAACAAAAAAAAAAAAATGAATGATAAATAAATAAAAATTTTGATTAAAGATGGCAATGCTAATTGAAGCTAATAAAACATCCTCGAATGTAAGTTTGGATGAGAGAGATCTAAGTGGATCAGAGCGAATCTTTCATGGCGTAACACATAAACCGCAATTATTTGCATTTCTGTATAATAAACGTTATGCAAATTTGAATACTTTATTTTCATCAGTTGATTTAAAGGCTAACCGAGAACAAGTTTCTATTTTTTAATATCATTTAACTTTTATCTTTTATATATTCATAGTTTGTAAAATATATTTCAAAAACTTTCTCAATATCTCATACTTTATTTTGATTTTTTTTTTCCTTTTTAAACTTATCTGTTATTATGTTAACTTTTTCTTTTTTTTTCAGTTGCTCTATGTAATTTTAGTTCTATTGGCTTTTTACTTGTTATTTGGATGTTTTGCTGAGCTAATTTGTAATATTTTTGGATTTGCTTATCCAGCTTATGCATCTGTTAAAGTAAATTTTCAAAAAAAAAAAAAATAATTTCAAAAAATTAATATATGTCATCGAAAATGAAAAATAAAATAATAAATTTAGGCAATTCGTACACCAAATAAAGACGATGACACACAATGGCTAATGTATTGGACAGTTTTTGCTACATTTTCTATAGCTGATTCTATTGCATCTGTAATTACACATTTTTTTCCCATATATTGGATATTTAAGGTGTGAAATTATTTGATGTTAAGAAATTTAAACTTATATTTAAATCATTTATTTATTCTTGAATTTGGGAATGTAACAAAAAGTGTTACATAATTTTTGTTCGGAGTAAAAAAAAATTTTTTTTTCAAATTTCTTGAAATGAAATATCTTTTTGACAAGTTCGAAAAATTTTTTATAATTTAAGATATAATCTATTGAACTAGATAAAATAGTAGCAATACTAATAATATTATTATTATTAATAATAACAACAATAATAATAATGGTAATAACAATAACAATAATAACAATCATGATAATAAAATAATGATAACAATAATAATAACAACGATAATAATAAAAATAATGATAATGAATGTACAATATAGACATTTCGTTAATTACAGTAAAAGAATACAGCAAAATTTTTGTTTCAACTGAATATGCATACTGAATGAGAGATGCTTTAATTTTCTGTTATGTACAATCTTAAAGGATATGATTTCACAGAATTTCTTACTAAAAATTGCGAAATAAAACATTTCGTAAATTTTGATGAAATATTGCCATTTTCATATTTCTACCTCCTTTATTAAACATTACTATCACTGAACTATCACCCTAACAATGACCTTCTAGGTAATTCTGCAACACGAAATTGCGCCTCTTCAATAACAGTTAGCAAATTTTCTCCATCAAGTTCATCGAGAAGAAGTAAAACAGCCGATAAAATTCGACCCATTCGTTTTTTCTGAAAAAATAGGGATAGCTTTCCCTCAAAAAAATTATATAATGATGAAAAAAAACAAGAAACTTTACAGAAATCATTTCTCTGTTATGGAAAGCTTTGAGCTTACGGAACAATTTCAAATCAATGCCTTATCTTCGACTGCTTGTCTCTGAGACTCAGCACATCCCGCACCAGTTGATTCATCATCATATCCCACTAATTCATCCCTCTCTACCATCGGTGAAAGTTCAGGTAGTTCTAATGGTTCCGTCTGAATATGAAGCTAGAATATAAAGCGTACAGGCTATATCATAAATTAAAGATCGATAGAGCACTAAACCAATTATCATAATATTTATGAAAAAAAAAGACAATGTCTATGAAAAAATTCCGAAAGTTAAACAGAACACATATATATAGTAAACTGCATAAACATCTAATGATAAGCATTTATAAAGCAGGAAAAAGGAATAAAGAAAAGACAGAATGCAATAACGGACAAAAAATAAGAACTTCAAGAAAATTTTTTTTAAAGTACCTGCTTTAACAGTAGCTGTCTGTTACGCAGCACTTGGCGCACTTGTTCGTTTTCCTCCCTTTCGTATGCGCGACTTTCGCGCTGGCTGGTTATTGAAGCGATTTCTTCATATGGCACTGGTTCACAATCAACGTGATGCTCCGGCGGTTTATCACCAATTATTTCACCATCGTAAACTATTATAGATGCTTGAGCACCAGGTCCACTTTTCCGTTTAGCTCGCAAACATCTGTTGCATCGATAATATTCTTTACGCCCATCCACGGAACTTTTCATGTATGCATACTGCCGAATTTCCTTTGTTTTATCATCCATCACTGTCAGCAAAGAAGCATTGTAACGACTCGACAAGGCACGCTGCATTATCGTGAAACCTTTCAATACACCCATCTTCCTCCTTAATAAGATTATTTCTATCAAATGAGTAAGCTTATTTACTTTTTTGTGTATAATCCGAAAGCAGTTTTTTTAAAAAATTGCTTACTTCCTTTCCTGTTCATCACTTGATTCTGCATTTCTATTCTGCAACAGAAACAAAAATAAAACTGTGCAAAACACAGCCACCTATTCGTATGAAATATTTTGGTGGAGAAATTCAAAACACAGCGAATAAAATAATGTTCAACTGGAAGTAAAAAAAAAGGAAAACAAAAGCTGTGACATTTAAAAGTGATGAAATGATGACAACTTACAATATGTCTCAAACGTCGTGATAGCGTAGGAGCAGAAATTTCAAGTCCTAATTGATCCTTTACAAGTCGACAAACTTCACTTAGAGATTTAATTTCACCATTCAGATATTTCAATAGTAAACCATCATATATAAGTCTAAAACAATATTAAACACATGAAGTCAGATTGTGATGTTAGAAGCAATTCTTACTTACAATGAAATAATCAACTGATTTACTTTTGTTCTTGTGATCCAAAAACGATTCCATGTCCATCTTCCAGAAATGATTCCGAATAATTATTTCGAGGATTACTAAAAATATTTTGCTTTCTCAACATATCACACTTATTATTTAATGCCAAAAGCTAAATATTTCTACTTTATTATCGGAAATGAAGCCATTTCAAAACAGAAAATACTTGAATACTACTGGTAGGAATGACAAGAATTGCTAATATTAAGGAAAGATTTTCGACATTAGAATGAGAAATGAATAAGATGGGATAACATATAGTAACTGTAAATTGTTCTGTAGAAAAAAAGAAACTTACATGTGTTCCTCATCTTCTACATTCACATCAGAACTAACCGATTCTTCATCATCTTTCCTTAAACTTTCATCAGTAATCATTTCTGTTTCAATCCTGGAATAACATAAATTTAGAAATGATTTTTTGATAGAATGAAGAAGAAAGATAAATAACGACGACGAATAACCAATTTGCTAAATTAATTTGAAGATATATAATTATCGCTGATGAATATGTAAAAGAGCCATAGCTATCTATCGCTAATGAATACTTTATATAACCATTGAAGAATGAGAATATGGAAAGATGAGAAACTAAGAAAGCTAAAGAAAAATTGATTAGAGGAAAAATGAAAGATTATCATACACACTACTAAACATATTGTAAACAAATGGTTACAGAAGAGAAAACTAACACTTCGAAAAATGCTAGGAAATCAAAATTTTTAAAAAATTTAAAAAAAAGTGAAGGATCATCCACACCACTTCTTCAATCACCCAGCACCGCCCTATACCTGCTCGACAGATTGCATCACTCATTGCTTTAAAGTTTACTTATAACAAAATACAGTGAATGGAAGAGAGTTTTAAGATTTAAAACATCTAATGCAGCTAAATTACCGGTAATCTTTACTTCATTATTGTATTATATTTGAATCCCTTGAAAACTGGAACTTTGTAAAATTTCTAGTATCTTTGAATCCTGAGAAATACCAAAATTCATAAAATCGCAATATATTTAAATTCCAGGAGACTTTGAATTGCTACAATGTTGTACGGTAGCCAGCCAAATTGATGTTCGATGACAGAATTTAGTAATAATTTGAAGATAAATAAATAAATAAATAAAGGAAAATTTGCTCAAAAGTATTGTCTATGAGCGTAGAAAAATATATTGCTTAATTAAGCATACAAATCAAATTATCTTAAATTAAATTAAAATTCAAAATTATTTAAAAAGTTGAAATAGAATTGTTGAAAAAGTTATGATAGAATTGGCCTTCCATCTCTCTCAAAGTTTCATAACAAATGCTACATTTAAAACTTTCTCTCCTCACAATATTATAACAAAATATTCCGAAATGCTATTATTTTATAATATCGTAATCATTTGCATAAAAAAAAATGACATTTTAACATTGAATTATTTTATTTTAATAAAATTAATCATCAAATATGATATAAAATTTTGTTTACATCAGTGCATCGGGGTTAAAGGTTGAAAAGAGCACTATAGTAGCAAAGTAAAAGAGAAAATAAAATTTGTTTTCATTTTTCTTCTCTCTTATTTACTTACAAAAAAAATTTTTGTTTTCATTTTCTCTAATTCACATAAAATAAGCGTTATCTTATGATAATTGATAAATTGATTAGGCATTGATTACAGTTCTCTATCAGAGACAGTCAAAACCTGCTTCTTAACATTGATTTTATTCTATTACAAAATGACTGATTAGTTTTTGTATGCTTTAAATAGTCCAACCATCATTTCACTGAGTAATTTCTTTTTACGCTCATATTTTATTCTTCATTCTTTCATTTTATTTCATTATTTTAGTTTATTTCGCTTTTTTTTTCTTCTTTGTCAAATTATTTTTAATTTAAATTAAATTTAATTTAATTTATATTTTCTGTATGATTAGAATAATTTCTTATTTCGTTTTTATTCGAATTAAATGATTATTTAAATTTATTTCTTATTGTTACTCATAAATAAAATCTTAGCAATTTTTTTGTTTGTTTTTTTTCTTTATTTAATTGCTTCTTTTTTTCTTGATTTTTATTTGTTTGAGTAAATTCATATCTTTGAGTGAGAATTTTAATAAAAATTTAATGAAAATTAGTAAAAATTAGATGAAATTAAAATTGAAAGAGTAAAAATTAACTTTTAATAATAATAAATTTGTGAGAAGATGTTAGATAAATAAATAATTTTTCAACGAGACGTACATTTAATTCACAATTATATTTCTATCAAAAAATGAAAAAAGAGTGATAAGCTATTTTTGTAAGCTAATAATATTAAATTTTTTAAAATGTTATGTAAATAAAGAATTAATCACTCATTTAAAGTGATATGATGTATTTATTTTACAGCTTATTTTATTTGTATAATTCACTATAATAAAATTTTAAACTGATATTATTTGTTAAAAATGCTTATATAATTTTAATTAATTAGCTTATTGTTGTATTAATTGAGCTATTGTAATGAATAAATTGCATATATTATCAGTGTTATCTAATCAGTTTACATTATATTTGTTAATGATAAAAAAAAAAAAGAATTGTATGCCCCGTATGTCACACATAATTGATGATAAAATAATTATACGTCATATAACGTACGTACGCTTTTTTAGCTTATATCAATTATTATGCTAATTAGCTCATTAACTGTTTCAAATTTTTTTCTCCCCTTGTAACTAATATATACGAAATTAGTTTATTTTTTTATTTTAACTTACTTGAATCTTTAAAGAAGACACTTTTAATCTTATTTTGATCATTTGAATGATAAAAAAAGCTTAAAATTTTTAAATTTCAATATTATAAGATAATCTTTGAGTATTTATTCATATGATAAGGATTATGTGATAAAAAGAATTTTACAACATTGCAACTATTTGTATTTTACAGATTGTTAAAATTTAGAATGCCAACGTCATTGATTGATAATGAAGAAAAGTTATCAGCAGGAATTGATCGTTTCATTGTTTTTAATCGTTATACAATGTTTTTATGTTTAACTTATGAACTTGTCATATTGTCACAAGTTGGCAATGTTATTTATATGATATTTGCTGGTTAGTTAATCCCTTTTCTTATCATTTTTATTGCATTGCCATTAATTTTCAAATTTTTTTCAAAAAAAAAGCGAAGAGATGCATTAAATTATTAAAAAATTTTGAATGAAATGATGCAATAAATAATTAACAAATTTGAGAGAAATTTTGATAGAAATGAAAAAAGTTTAGTTAGATTTTGTTTAAATAATTACAATGCTTTTCTCTCTTTTTCTATTTTCTTTTTTTTTTTTTTTATTTGAAATATAAAATTTATACTTAGTTGAAAATTAAAAAATAGGAAGAATTTAAAGTTAGGAAAGAATGAAAAGAAGGAAAAAAATATTGAATAAGTTCAGTAGATTTTATTTAAATAATTTAGTGTCTAAATTTTTTTTTTCCTTTAACTTTTTAGTTAACTATAAATTTCAGAAAAAAAAGGAAGGAAAGAAACGAAAGGAAAAAAGAAAATTAAAAAAAAAAAAAGAAGGAAGTAAAAGTATTGTCTTTGGGAAATGTTGCAAATAGGAAGATTTAATGAAATACTTAAATAATTTATATAATGCAAAAATTTTAATGAAATGATTTTAAAATATTAAATTAAAATTTTAAGTAACACTTCAAATTATAGCAGCATCACCTGATATTATTGGTTGTGGAACGATAATTTTTAATGAAACTTTGGGACAGCGTGAAGCATGCGAGCAGTATGAAAGTATAATTAAATTTGAAAATCATTCATGTGAACCAATTCTTAAGTATCAATTTCGATCTGTTGCTGTTGAAGTATATTTTATTTTAGTTATATTTTAGTCTAATTAACTAAAAGTCCCATTTAAATTTAAAAAAAAAAATTAATTAATAATTGCGAATATTTGAAAATGAAAAAAAAAACTGTTCTTTACTTTTTAAAAATGATTCTTAATAATAAAATTTAATTTAAAATTCTAATTGAATTTGAAAAAATAAGCAAAAGTTATCTGGAAAAATCTAAAATTTTGAAATAATTCATAATTTTTAGTTTAACTTTTTGAAAAATTTAGAAATGAAAAATTTTTAAATTTTTTACAGTGGAACTATTTCTGTAGTGAAACAGTAAAAGTAAAAAATGTGGTATCGTTTCAAATGTTTGGTACTATACTTGGTGGTATTTTATTTGGGCAATTATCTGATTTATTTGGACGACGAAAGGTTTTCTTTTTTTTTTTTTAAAAAAAAAAAGAAAAGGAAAAGAAACTTTTAAATAATAAATTTATACAAAATTAATAATCAACTTATAACCAGAAAAAAAAACGAAAACAAATAAACTTATCATAAAATTATTAAATTTTTAAATTCGTTAATAAATTCTCAATGAAAGGAATTTTAATAATTCTATCCTAAAATAATTGCTTAAATTACATTAATAATAATTATTAACATTTCTCTTTTTTTTTTTAACTTTAATAGTTTTCTTTTCATTTTTTTTTCCTTTTTCCCCTTCTTTAATTTTAATATTTTTCTTATCATTTTTTCCTACTTTCTTTTTTTTGCAATCAATTTTCCACTGCCAAAAAAACAAACAAACAAATAAACAAATCAAACAAACAAATAAATAAACAAACAAAATGTGACATTAATTTATTAGAGCTTAAACGTATAAATAAACAAGTAAATAAATTTTTTTTTTATAAATTACACTAATTAAATTAATTTGCTAATTAATTTAAATTTAATAATTAATTTTGAACCATTTCATTTCAGACAATGATCGTATGCATTGCAATGACAGCTCTATCTGGCATACTGTCATCTTTTGCTGCCAATTTTTGGTATTTGCTATTAGTCGCACTTTTGTTGGTTTCTTTGTTGGCGGAAATTCAATGTTACTTTTTTAGTATCATTCTAAAATTTCAATTATTATTTATTTTTTTTTATTTTATTATTATTTAATTTTTAAATTCATTAAGAATAATTTTTTCAAATTAATACTAAAATATTTTTAATATTTTTTTATTTTTTTTAATAAACATGAAAGTATGAAATGTCTATTGAAAATATTTTGTTTTCTTTATTAACTTGAATAAATTTGCATAACCAAAAATAATTATTTATATTTGTTACATAATAATTTAAAAATATCAATTATTTAAATGATAAATTTATGATGAATAATATGTAAACAAAGGTTGTAATTAAATTTGAATATTAATTGGAAAAAAAAAAGAAAAGAAAAGCTAAATAATTTTAGGTTTTATTAAACATATTTTTAGTAATATATCAAATTTACGTATAACACAAATATTTTCATAGATATTTTCGCTTATTTTTATTTTTATTCATTTTTAAATGATAATAATTGATGTAAAAATTTTGTCAACATGAATATGAAGTTCTTTTATTCAAGTGATAAGGTAAGTTAACATTTTAATTTATTTAAGAAGAGTACTTGTAAAGTAATATACGTGTAATTATAGCGTAATGTACGTGTACGTAATCGAGAATATTCCAACAAATGCTCGAATTAAAGTGAATACATTTGTTACTTGGTCACCAAATTTTTTATTACTTTCTTTGGTTGCTTATTTTACACGTTCATGGGATACACTTGCAATTACAATTAATTTATTAGCTGCACCATCACTTTTTTGCTTCATGTAAATTTTTAAATGTTAAATTTAATTTTTATTTTTTACAAAAAAAAAAAATGAAACTTTTTTATTTTTAAAAAATTTTTATTTAGTTTTCTATATGAAAGCCCACGATGGTTAATGCAAAAAGGTCGTTTGAATGAAGCACAACAAACAATAATTGCAATGAATACATGGGGAAAAAATGCGGCAAAACGACAATACCGCCACGAGCAAGAAGTAATTGATACACTTGGAAATGATCATATGGTATTTTTATAAATTCATAAATTAAAAAAATTTTAATTTAATGTTTTAAAAATAAATTGTGAAATAGTTGTAATTTAAGTTGAAAAAGTAAATATTTATCAAAATTTTGATATTTATTGCTTTTTTTTTATTGATTAATGTTAAAAAGTAAAGCTTTTATTTGGTTTTTATTTTCTCCAATAAATTCACTATTTTAATTTTAATTTTTTTTAAATTTTTTAATTAAACATTTTAAAAAATGTTTCTAGTTTTTTTTTAAAAAAAAACAGAAAATATTTCATATTTTTATTACATATTAATAAATGATAATTAAGTAAGTTTGAATAAAAAAAAAACAAAATTTTTGATTTATTATTGTTTTTTTTTTATTTTTCAGGCTAATTATGAACAATTAAAACATAAACGATATTATTTTTATCATTTATTTTATTCATGGAAATTACTTCGTTACAGCATTGTTCTTGCATTTAGCTGGTAAAAGAAAAAAGTATTTTATTAAAACAATTAAAATACTTTTTTAATAATATCAAATAATCTTTTTTAAACATATAAAAAAGTTTTTTACATTTTTATTTTCATTCAAAAAAAAAAAAAACGAATATATTTAAATGAAAATTATGAACAATTATCAATTCATTTATAATTTTTTATAGTAATTTAATTTTTTCTAAAAAAAAAAAAAGTTTTGTTTGTTTGTTTGTTTATTTTATTTTAGCTTTGCTAATGCTATTGCATTTTATGGTTTATTATTTAATTTGGAGAAGATTTCCGGTTCATTGTTTATGAATACATCAATACTTGGAGCATTTCGTTATATTTTAAATATTTTACTAGCAACTGTTGATCATGCCTTTACATCTGTTGGCAGAAAGTTTGTACATACAATATCAATTATCATTTATATTCTTTGTATTGCATTTATTGTTGTATTAATTAAAACTGGTTTGTTATATATTTTTTTTTTTATTAATTAAAAATATTTTTTTTCTTAAGTAGGAAAAAAATTAATTAAAAGATTAAAGGAATTATTTGTTTTTCGTTTCTTCTTTTTAATTAATTAAAATTTTCCCGAATAAAAACTTTCTTTTTTTTTCTAAAAAATTTTGCAATGTAAGTTAAATTTAAATATTCATATGCAAATATTAGTTTAATTAAGATTATTTATATAAGCTATTTTTCAAAAAAAAAAAAAAATGAAAACAAAAAAATGTTAAATAATTTTAAATTTATTTATTTTTTATTCCTTTCAATAAAACAGCACTTTGATTAACACTAACAATACAATAAAATGATTTTTTTTTTTTTGAGAAAATATCGTAAATCATATAATACGATTTATTTTTAAAAAAAGATTTAATTTAATTTAAAATAATCTAGGAGAGGGGGGGGGGTCAAAAGGCAGAAATTCTTTAAATATATTTTAATATCTAACGAATAAATTTAAATTGATAAGAAAGGAAGCATTAATATTTATTTTATTAACAATTATTACTTCATCTTCACTTTTTTTTTTTTTTGTTTTTATTTCTTTAAATTTTTTTTTTCAAAATATTTAAAAAAATATGTTAATTTTTAAATGTTTTTCAAAATTGATTTAATTTTTTCATTTTTTTAGACCATACTTTGGATTTCAAAGTACTTATTCGACTATTAACTTTAACTGGTATGGGTATAATTTCAACCTTATTTATTGTTAATACACTTTCATGCGCTGAACTTTTCCCTACAGCTATTCGTAATTTAGCTGGCGCTAATGTCGCAACATGGAATCGAATTGGTTGCATTATTGCACCACAACTTATTTATTTAGTATGTGTTTTTCATTTTTATCATTAATATTTCATTCATTTAAGGCTAACTTTTTTTTTTGTGCACATCATAATTTTCTAAGTTTTAAATAATTTTTACAATATTGCTTAAATTTAATTTAAATAAATAAATGTATTGTAATTTCAGAATTTGATATTGAAACAGAAATTAGATTATGAATAAAAAACTGCATCAAAAAAAAAAAATTATTTTGATAAGAAGTGATAATGACAATTTAACTTTAACTTTTATCAAATTTTGATTTCACATATAAAATTACTGATAATGTTGATTATAATAAGTATTATAAATGAAATTGAAATAATCATATTAAATTATGATAACTAAATCATATGTTATACATCACACTTTTTGTTATCACTTCTTATCAAATATTATTCCATTATCATTTCTTATCCGGTATTTTTCCATTCTTTAATAATGATTTGAAAAATTTTTCAGAGTGAAATTGATCAAATTTTACCATATGTAGTTCTTATCATATTACTATCCATTGATGCCATAGCATTCCTGACACTTCTTCCGGAAACGAAATCACGTCCACTTAAAGATCAAATGCCATCAAAAGAAATGCTAATTTTGAGAAGTTGCAAGAGAACACGCACAGCAAGCATACCAAGTGATAATAATGATGATAATGATAATATCACTTGTTTAATTAAGAAATAAACTTTTGATGTAGCTATTTAATTATTCCAATTATCGACTTCAATGATAAGTAAATCAATAATAGAATTATTTATTGTTAATAAAATAAATTAACATTGTAAGCATTGACAGACTCATAGATCATCTTCTATAAGATAATTAGCAAATATTATCATAACGAAGGTAATTAGGGACAAATTATAATATATACATAATAAGTTTAATTTGAAAAATCAGAAATTATTTTAAATCAAAAAAAAAAAAATATTTGATCAGAAAAATTATTAATGTATTTTTTGATTTAAAGAAAATTTCATTTGCTAATTTTCTTGGCTAAGTGTTTTAGTAAACAAAATAATGATATTTATGATAAATTTATCTAACATTCAAAATGCATTATACTGAAATTGATGTCCCTAATTTGCCATCAGTTAAAGCAAATTTCATTTTTCATTTGAACAAATTTTAAACAATTAGTTTATGTTTTGCAACAATGGTTGATTTAAATATTGTTAAAGTTGAATAAACATTTTTGAAGATTGCTTTTAAAACTTTCAAAGTATTCGTATTGATATTTAAATTGAATAATCAATAAATGCATCAATTCTTCACTTTCGTTATCAAATATTTTGCTAAATACTTAGTAATATTTGGAGAGAAATTGTTTTCTTTCTTTTCTAATTATTTGCAAATTAATTAATTAGTAAAATAAGAGATAATAATAAGCGCAATTGTGTTAATCGTTAATTAAAGCAGAGAGAGAGGGAGAGAGGGAGAGAGAGAGAAAAAATTAAAACTATCAATATGATATTTTATAAGAATAATTATTGTATTCAAACGTTAATGCATTTTTTTTCATTTTTTAATAAATGTCACAAATTTCTTTATAAAAAATTTTGTATTATATTATAAATACAATTACCATTTAAAAATTTTTTTCTCATTTTTTTAAAAAAATTTCTCAATATTTAAAGAAAAAAAAATAGCCAACAATAAAGGATGAATAGAGATCATTTAAGTATTTAATTTAAAAAAAAAATGATAAAATTTATTTAAACATTTAAATCGAGGAATGATAAAGCTTGAAAAACGATCAACCACCTGCACATCTAATTAAGTGAATGATAAAACGTGAAAAAAAGGTTGCTTATACGTTTAATTAATATTGCAACAGTCATAGAATTATTTTTTATAAATTAAGAAAATTGTAAAATTTGTTAAAAAATATTTTACAAAATTTGTCAAAAAAAAAAATTTAGTTAAATTTGATAAAATCTATTTTCTTTCAAATTTCCAATAAAATAAAAGAAATAATTTTTTCCTCACTCACTTCTCAACTTATAGTTAATTTATCATGTTTAAATTTACTTTTATCTAAAAAAAAAAAACGATTAAGAAAAAATTGTGCATAAATCATATCAGAAAAATTGTTATCACATTTAATATGAATTGTTAATCAATTCAAAATGATTTTTTTTTATTCTGTTTAATGCCTAAGCTTTTATCAGATTAATTATTTTAAATTATTTTATTTTATTTACAATTATTTTAATTTCAAATGTATTACACAATACTGCATTTGATTAATTTGAAAATTAAAAATTGAAAATAAATTAATTAATTTGAAATAGTGAACTTAAATTTTTGGCAAACTTTTAACTTAACTTTATTTTATTTGTTATATTTTTATAAATTTATGTTTTAATTTTTTGAAAAAAAGAAAAAATAAATATTATAAACATGACGTACGTTTCAATGTGACGTACGTATACGATTTAAAAAAAAAACTGAAAAAAAAAAGGCAAAACTTAATCATATTAGTCAATTAGAATGATAGGAATTAATGTTAAGATGAATAATTTTATTTGCAGAAAAATTTAACTCATAAATTGAAACTAATTTTTATGTCAACTTTAGCTTTTTTTTTTTGTATATAAAAATTGGACAAAAATTTTTATTGCAATTTGTATCAAAAAAAAAAAAGAAAAGAAAAAATTGAAGAAAATTAACAGTCCAATTATTTTAGCAATTAAATATTGAAAAAATTGAATTGCAAAAACTTTTATTTTGTTCAAGAAAGAAAAAAAAAAGTTGTAACTTATTTTGTGTCAGAATTATTCGATCTTTCCGAAAAGAAAGAAGTTTTATTGTCATATATTTTTAAAATTTCAATTTATCATCATTTCCGGAATGTCTTAGTACGTCTTATCCAGAATCAATAAATCCCACTTCAGTATATCATCATTTCCGGAATATCTTAGTACATCTTATCCAGAATCAATAAATCCCACTTCAGTATATCATCATTTCCGGAATATCCTAGTACATCTTATCCAGAATCAATAAATCCCACTTCAGTATATCATCATTTCCGGAATATCTTAGTACATCTTATCCAGAATCAATAAATTTTATTTCAAATTTCAATCAACATGCATCACATATTTGTCAACAATTGTTATTTCAGATGAAGTAGGTGAGAGGAGGAGAAAAAAAAAAAGAAAGAGCGGCATAGTTTTGTCTTAAAAATTTACAGTTGATAAATTAGTTTTAATTTTAATTTTTTAAAAAAATTTTTTTCTTTTTTAGAAATTAAATATTGTTGATAATAATTGATTGGAAAAAGAATAGAATAAATTAAATATCAAAATAATGATAGCTTTGAAAAAGTTTGAATTTAAATTTGATAGAAAAATATTTTAAAACGAAAATGAAAAAAAAAAAATGTATTTACAAACGATTCATTTCTTATTAATAATTTCCTACAATCAATAATAATTACTATTTCTATTACTAATATTACTATTACTATTACTACTACTACTATAATTACTATATTATATTATTTAAATTAAAATCAGAAATGTTTCATTCTTATTACTTACTTTTGCTTAATACTTAATTATCGTACTTTCCTTTTCCTTTTCTCTTTTCTCTCTCTCTCTCTCTCTCTCTCTCTTTCTTTTACTAATACTACTATTACTATTGCTACTACTACTATAATTACTATATTATATTATTTAAATTAAAATTAGAAATGTTTCATTCTTATTACTTACTTTTACTTAATACTTAATTATCGTACTTTCCTTTTCCTTTTTCTCTCTCTCTCTCTCTCTCTCTCTCTCTCTTTAACTAAATCATGATTGTTCAAGAAAAAAAAAAAAATTTTTTTTTCCGCTCCGCCTGCTAAGTACTTTTTTTTTTCCACTAATGCTATCTGATGTTGTTTGAATCGTTTTTTTTTTTTTAAAAAAGTTTGTGAAAGTATATATTTTGTGAGATGAATGCTTGAATGTGTCTGTCTGTGTGTTTGCTTGGATGATTTTAAGCGCCTAAAAAGAATTTTACGCACTTACGTTTTACATATATATATATTGAGATAAAGCCTTTTTCTTATTTTTCTTACTTTAAAATTTAGAAGAGGAAAAGGAGGAGGAATTAGAGGAGGAATTGGTAGAGGAATTGGTAGAGGAGGAGAGAAAGAGATGGAGGAATTGGAGGAGGAGGAGAGAAAGAAGGAGGAGGAATTTGGAGGAGGGGGAGAGAAAGGAGGAGGAGGAGAGAAAGTAGAAAATAGGATAAAAATGGGAGGGCGGAAAATGAAGAAGCTTTAGCGGAAAAGTTCCATCCTCTTTCCTTTTTTTTTTTTTCTCAATTTTCTTTCATTCAAAATTCACTTTTAATACTAACATAATTGTCATTTATTTATTTATTTATAATTTTTATTATTTTATATTAAACAAAAATGAAAAAAAAAATTATTTTAATTTTATCAAATGTTATTTTTTTTTAATTTTAAAAGTTAAATATTATATATAAATATTATGCTTAATAATTGATAGTAAGTATATATAAATAATTATTGATGAGCAGCTGATGTTTAGTGTAAAAATTTATTAACTGCTACAAATAACTGTTAGCTGATTGATTATATTTTTTATTAATTATATTTTTATTTTTTATTTTTTTATAGAATATTCTAAAAATTAAAAAGAAAAGAAAAAAAGAAAATAAACAAAACAGTACTGCAAATAATCAATGACGCTTCTGGCTTCAACGCCATGTACCATATCTCATATATTTTCATCGTTTACTGTATTATTTACAACAACACTACACTTGGTTATATGTAAGTTTTAAAATGATTTTTTTTTTAATTTATATTTTTTAATATTTTAATTTTTGATTTTTGTTTTTTTTTAAAGAAAGAAAGAAAGTGATATGATAAATTTTCATTGAAATATATGTAAAATGTTGATTGGTAAATTTAAATTTAAAATAAATTCATCTATACCTATTGTGTAATTAATTAATTAATCATATTTGGAATAAATTTTATTTGATCTGATATGTGATATTTTAATAATATTTGCATCTTTCATTTGTAATAATTATAGATTAGCAAATTTTTATAAAAATTTTGATCAATCTTTTTTCTTTTTTTTTTTTTTTCTTTAAATCTTTCTTTAAATTAAAAGTAATTGAAAGTTATATTGGAAAATTTTTGATTAATATAGGTTTATAAGCAAATTTTTTTAGTTTATTACTGAAATAAACAGAGAGCAAATTTTTTAATTTATAAATAGCTTTTAATTTTGTTTCTCTATAAGAATAAAATATATAATATGATTTAAATTCTTGAAATTACTATTGAAATTAAAATTTTTCCATATTAATTTTAGTAAAAAAAAAAAAAAAAAACTATGATAATTCGAATCATTTATGCATTTTTCTTTCAATTTCTTCAAACAGAAAGAGAAAAATTTTTTAATGTTTCGTATAAAATTAAAAATCTAAATGATACTGTAATTTGAGAAAGAAAACTTTTAATAAATTCTTATTATTTGTTTACATTTTTATAAAATTTCAATTATGTCATTTAATCGCGTGTTTGCATTAAATATGCTAAAAGCATATCATGCATCCATTAATTAAACTTTTAAAATCAGTTAAAAAAGATTAAGGAAAAAAAAGAAAAGAAACTTTAATTCATTCTTTTATTATTAGCATATTTTACTATTTCAAAATTTTAAATTAAATTTTTGAAATGTATAAAACATTCTCATTCTCAATTATTTCCTCTTTTTCCTTTTTCTTTCACTTCCCTTTTTGTTTTTTTTTATACTTTAATGAGAGAGAGAGAGAAACAAATTTAATTTCAAGTATACAAGTATTCCGATAACAAATGCTCTTCATGTCAAATCAAACAATGCTTGATTTGATGGTTGCATGACAGAATGACATTTGAAATGCTACATTTAACAAAATATAAACAATAGTGATTATGACAACCGTAGCTAACATAACGTTTTGTTATTTAAATTGATAATCCATCAAATAAATATTTATTTTTCTAATCCTAATCCTTTCTCATTTCCAATTTTATTTTCATTTCTATTCCTTTTTTTTTTTTTACATAAAAATTTTGATAGAAAAAAAAACAAAAATTAGTAATTAGTAACATAAATTTGCTGCTACTTAATGAATTGCAATTATCATTGAGGAAATTTGAATATATTTATATTTATCATAGCAATAAATCTACTAAATCATATAAATTTCAATTAATATTTGATTAATTAACATTGTTTAATTATTTTTAAAAATTTTATTAATTCTGTTTTTTTTTTTTTTTTGTAAAAATGATAAAATATATATATGTGAAAAAATAATATAAATTATATAAACTTGAAAAAAAAACATAATTCTTTTTTTTTTTCCAAAAAAAAAAACGACTGTACTAAATATTATATATAGCAAAATGTGAAAAAAAAGAAACTTATTATATTAGAACTTTTCAAATTTTAATTGAATTTTAATTTTAATTAACTAAATATATTAGAACAAATTTTAATTTTAATTTGAACGTTTGTTTTTGAAATAGCATTTTAAAAAGTTTCATCAAAATTCATCCGTTTTTTTTCTTTTTTTTTCTGGTTTACGAAAATAGTTTTCTTCTTGATAAATTGTAAATAAAAAAAAAAGGGTATACTTTTCCACTTTTTTCCTTTTTTTTTTTTTTCTCTTTTGAACAACTGCTTGTTGAAAGTTCTGCAATTTTATCACTGTCTATAACAAATGCTTTAAGATAAGTGAGGAATAATAAAATTTACAAAAATAATAAATAAATAAATAAATAAATAATTTCAAGCATTTCAACAAAATATTTCAATTATCGCTATTTGATTTATTAAAACTATAAAAAAAAGTGAAATGATTTGCAGTATTTTCTCTTTTTTTTTTTCTTTTTTAAAAAAATAAAATTGATAATTTTCTTTTCAAAAAAAAAAAAATTTGTTATTTGTTAAAAATTTTAATTTTTTCACAAATATATAATCTAAGAATAAACAAATAAAGTTACACTTTTTGTTTGTTACTGAGAAAAAAAGAAAAATATGAAATTTTATAATACAATGGAAAATTTTATTATTATTAAATTCTAATTGAAAAAGAAAATAATCCCTAAAATAAAAAAATGAAATACTTTATAAATGAAAGATATTTTACAAATGTTTAATACTTTTACTATAAAATTTATTTTTGAAATTTCAATCCAAAAACTAAATTAAAAATTTTTCTCGCTCACCAAACTTTTATCTTTCTTTCCTTTTTTTTTTTTTTTTACTGATAAATGAATGGAATTTTATTAAAAATGAAAAAAAAAAATTTTAGGAAATAATTTAAAATCAGATTTTATTTCTAAAAAAATTTCAATCATATTTTTTTCTTTTCTCTCTCTTTTTTTTATTGAAATTTTTTGAAATTTTTAGATTTTAAGCAAAAACGGAAACATTTCATTTATTCTCAAAACTTTTCCAACATGCACGCAATGCATTTTCAATTCCCAATGCATTGCATTGTTCTCATTTGCACTTATAATTGATTTTAATTTTTAAATATTTTATTTTTTATCAATTTTTTGATAAATAATTATTTTTAAATTAATTTTTTATAAAATACACAAATTATAGGAATGCTCAAAGAAGAGAAAAAATAAATGAATTTTTTTTATTTAAAATTTTTTCATCAAAAAAAAATTTTAATAATTAATTGTTTTAATAAAAAAGTTAAATTGTTATTATTAGTTATGCATAAATTTTTCATTTTTTTTAAGGCATTTTTAGGCAAAAAAACATTGAAATAACATTTATTTATTTTATTACTGTAAAAATTAATTTGCATATGTTTGATTATTTTAAAATTTATAGAAATTTTGCGTTTTATTTTGTTTGAATTATACAACTAATTTTAATATTTTTAAATTTTTTTTTTTATTAATTGTTCTTTTTTCTCTGCCATATTTATTGGATTTCTAAAAATGAAAATTAAAAATAAAGCATATTGAAGTGGATAGTTTGGTTAACTAAAAAAAAATTTTGTTTATTATAAATGAATGATGTTATAAAATTAAACTTTTGAAGTGCATTTAAAAGAATTAATAATTCTTAAACTATTATATTCTTTTTAATTTACCTTTTCAGTTTTAATTCGATTAAAACAGAATTATTACCAAAATTAAACTTTCATTCATTTCAAAAAAAATTTGTTTTTTTTTTTTTTTTTATATTTTTCCTTTCTGTAACAAAGAATTTGATGTTAAAAATTAATTTTAAGTCACTAAAATTGAAATTCCAAATTTAAAAGCTTTAAAAAAAAATTTTTTTTTTTTTGAAAATTATTTACAAATCACATAAAAATTATTAATTGTCTGGTAATAAATTAAAGAACTAAAATTCTTTTTCTGTTTTTTTTTTTTTTTAATATCTCTTTTTATTTTTTAAATTTTTTTTTTTAAATATAAAATAATGCTAAATTTTATGAAAGAAAGAAGAAAAGAAGAAAAAAAAAATTTAGATTTATCAAAGAATTTAATAATTATTTAAATAATATAGAAATGAAGTAAATTTATATTTACAGAGGTTATCCGAGTGGTACAACTTTCAATACAACAGCAATTTCTGATATTTTAAATCGACTTGTTGATAAATCAACTTATGATAAAAGATTAAGGCCTAAATATGGTGCTGAACCAGTTGACGTAGGTATAACTATACATGTATCAAGTATCAGTGCTGTATCTGAGGTTGATATGGTATGTCAATTTTAAATTTCTTTACAAAAAAAAAAAAAAGAATTTTTTAATTCAAAAATATTTTTCTTTTATTACAATTCATCTTTTTCCTTATTTTATTTTTATCGTATTTATATTTTTTAATTAATTATTTATCTTTTTTTTTTGCTACTTTTAATTATTTCATTTTTTTTTTATTATTATTTTTGTATAAATAATTTTATTAATTAAGAAAAATAACTTTAACATACATATATGAATTATATATTAGATAAATATTAAATTTTGTTTGCTTTATTTTTGATAAAAATTTTTTCCTATTATTATCTAATGTGCAGTAGCAAAATAGATAAAATGAATGTGCTAATAAAATAATTCAAATTTAGAAATAGGCTTTAATAAAAATTAGAATTAATGGCAAAAAAAAAAAAGAAAAAAAGATAAATTTCTTAAATTATTGAATTTTGCATTTCGAAAAATTTTCATTTCATAAAAATTTTTCCCTTTTTCATTTTTAATTTTTTTTTTCTTTCTTGAAATAATTGATAGTTTGATAAAGTTTTACTCATTCTATAATGATTATAATAAATGAAATTCTCGATCAAATTTTAATGTTATATCACACTTTTTGAAAATGTCATTTTTTTTTGAATCTAACTGCTTTTAAAAATTATATTGTAAAAGTATAAATGATATTTTAAAAGTATATGAATTATTTTACAATTTACCTAAGGCTGAAATTTTAACTTTTCGTTTTTTTTTTTTTTTTAAAAAGCCTTATTGGCCTTTTATTTTAAAACTTTAAATTGCTATATTTTATTATTCGTTCAAATTTATTCTGCAAACTTGCTAATAATTTGCAGAATCGATCATATATAATAATAATAATAATAATAATAATAATAATAATAATAATAATAATAATAATAATAATAATAATAATAATAATAATAATAATAATAATAATAATAATAATAATAATAATACATTATGTAGCCTAGTGATGCATTCAATTGATGTTAGTTTAATTTGGCTCTTAACAACAACAGCTCTACTGGCCAAGCAATATTATCATTAATTTATTGTCTCCTGGGAACTGTATAGCTTTAACAAAAAGTGATTTTGTTAGATGTGCAAATAATGACTTATCAACAAGTAAAGAATTTAAAAGTTGTTTATGCAAAAATTCAATTTTTTGAATTAAATAATTTCAAAATTTGTTTTGTTTTATTTTCTACTTCAGTATTATTATACAAGAATTTAGCAAGTATAAAATATAAATGAAAAAAAAATGTGAAATTAGTAAAATAATTTTTCGTAAATGATATTATCCTTTTTTTTTTTTTGAAAGGACTTTTAATACATCAAAAAAAAAAATTTTTTTTTTTTTCATTTCTGATATATTTATAATAGAGTATAATTTTTGTTAACTTTTAACAATTGTAATTTTACATATTCAAATAATCAATACAATTTATCAATAATTTTAGTCCAAAAAAAAAGACGCATTTTTATTTAAATATATTAGCTGATTTATACAATTAAAAGTTGTATCAAATAGTGATAAGAAATTGTTGTAAGATAAATTATTCTAAAATGTTAATTTTAAAGTTTAAATGAGAGAAAAGAAAAGAAAAGGAAAAATGAAAGGAAATAATGCATTTAGTAAATTATGTTTATAATCAGAAAAGATGAATTTTCTCTTATTGTCAAATATTAACAATGAGTTCTTCCCTTATTTTTCGAAAGAACTCATTTATTTATTTATTTATTCCTTTCCTACTTGTTTATCTTTCCATGCTAAATTGCTTCCCTAATTTTAATATTATTGCAAATTATTGAGTAACGCAAATTCATCATATAAGCTTAACTTTAAAAAATAGTAATAAAACGCAAACGAATTAAATTAATTAATGTTTAATGTTAACAGATGCAAATATTATTAGCAAAATATTGCAAATAGAATTATAATTTAAAATCAAAATGAAATTTTTATGTGTGAAATTATTCATAAATTTTATCAAAATATAACAGAAATAAACAAAAAAAGCACTATCATTTCTTTTTTATCATTAATCAAATATATAATATTATAAGCAATAAAAGTCTTAAATAAACATTACTATGTAATCATTACTGATATAAAATGTTTTCCTAAGCTTTTTTTTTTCCTTTTTTTTCTTAAATCATTACTGACACAGAATACTTTCTTGATTTTTTTTTTTTTTTTTTGTTTGGTAAACTTATCCTTTTTTTTAATTTTATGATATTTTGTTACTTCTTTTCTCTTTTATCTTTTTTTAAACAAAAATTTAGCTGACGATATTTTAAAAAATAAATTTAAGCACTTTCTATAAACTCGTCAATTTGATGATTTTTGTTTTTTGCCGTTTGACAAATAATTTTGAGAGAAAATAAATGAAAATACATTACAAAATGAATGAATGTTGTGTTGTAAATAATACTGAAATTATTTTTATACCGTATAACCAGCTAATAATGTATCGTACTATTACAGTAAGCTACCGTAATCTTTTCTATCTCCTTTGAAAAGATGAATGAATGAAATTGAAAAAAGTATTTTATAAAATTAGATTTGATTAAAATAAAAAAAAAAAAAAACAAAGCAAAATTACATATGAAATACAATAAAATAGTAATTTTTGAATTAGTTGAAGGTAACATTGTTACTTAAAAACGACCAAAAAAAAAAAAAAAAAAACAAGAAATAACTCAAATAATTATATATTAAAGTAATATATTGCACATTCATTGAAAAATCTTTTACATTAAAATTTTATAAAATGCATACCATTCTGTAAGAGTTTTAAAATATTATTTATAATGAATTTCTTTGAAAAAGCTTTATTTTTCCAACTTTCATAGAATATTTCATTTGTTTAAGAATATAATTTTATAATAAATTTTTCTAATGTAATTTTTCTATGCAGTATTTTTATTTGAAAAAAATATATAATTTATTGGAAATTTTTTTTTTTGTTTTTTTGTTTTAATTTTTATGATCATTTTAATATATCATATAGCCATTATTACTATCGATTATAATGTGAATAAATTTTGAGAAGCATTTGATGAAATTATCCAATATTAGCAAAGAACTAATTAACGAACTGCCATCATTAAATCGTTTGAAGAGAAAAATTGCATTGTTGTAAATTGATAAGTGTGAAAGGGAAGGCATACAAATTAGTATATGCATGAAAAAAATATTGAAATCTTTGAAAAAAAAATTTATATCAGGAAGCCATCCAAAATAATTTAATAGGAATTGTCTACTGAAAAAAAAGAAAAATTAGTATCTAAAAAGATTTTTTTTAAAAAAAAAAATTTATGCAAAAATAAATGCGTAATAAAATAATCATTTAAAATTATAATCATTGCATTGTTATTTATTGAAACAAATTCAATTTTATTACTGCAAAAGTTTAAAATTCAACAATTTTCTTTATTTCTCTCTTCTGTTTCAAGAAACAAATACGCAAATTTTGCTCAAATTGAATATGCAAATTGAAAATAAACTCATAATTGGTTCTTTCAGAAAAAAAAAAAAACTTTTGTTTGAAAAATTTTTGAAATTTTAGGACTTTACACTTGATTTTTATTTACGGCAAACATGGCAAGATCCACGTTTAGCATTTGGTGATATGTATTATGGCTATCAAAAAGGGAAAATTGAATCTTTGACAGTAAGTTTAGTTGATTTATTCCAATTAAATTCATATATTCGATTCAATTTAATTTGATTCACACTTTTATTTCATAGATAAGTGATAAACATAACTGAGGAGAACAAAGATTTTGAAAATGGTGGGAATGGCTTTATTTTGGATTTAACTTCAAAAATTTTTTTTATCTGTTCCTTCAGCGATGGTTTTAAACTTTTCTAAGCTCTTATCTTTTTTCGTTTCCTTTTTTTTTTTCTTTTTTTTTTCAATATACCAACAAATTGATTAGCTTTCAAAAAAGAAAAATGCTAAAACGAAACAACTTTTTTTTTTTTTTTTTGATGATGAGAAATATATGTTCACTATGGTATAGTTTTGCTTAAAAAAAATTTCCCTTTTTTTTTTTTCCTGAAAAGTGGGACAAACGAACTTTGAATTGAAGATGGCGAATTTTTTAAAATGCTTCAATTTCTCTCTTCATTTTTGCAAAAATGAAACGAACTTATTTCCTCTGATTTGAAAAATGCTTCAACTTTGTTTGTAATGCGCATTTGTGACAAAATAAATTTTCAAATTAGTAAATAAGGAAATAATCAAAGGAAAGCAAACAATATTATATTTTTTAAAATAATTAATAAAATAATGTTAGTGTCATAATAAAAAAAAGTGAAGAAAGAAATTTAATAATTGTTTTTATTTTTTAAACTTAAAAAAAAAAAGAAAAACAAAACAAAACAAAATAAGACAAATACTAGAAGCAATACTATCTTGAAGTAAACATTATCAGCCTGAAACTGATATTATCGTTTGCCATTTTAGGTTGGTGTAGATTATTTGGAGAAACTTTGGAAACCGGATACATTTTTTCCGAATGAAAAGAAATCATTCTTTCATACTGCAACAACCCATAATTCCTTTTTAAGAATCGATCCGGATGGTACCGTTTTTACTTCCCAAAGGTTCTATCATATTCATTATAATTATTTGCTTTTTTTGCAATACTTTTCAAACATTCGATTTCTTTTTTTTAAGTTTATTAATTTATTCTCTTTTTTACAAGTTCTCATTACAATTATTATCATTATCGTCAAATCAGTAGCACTAATAATTATCAACACTGCAATCAGCATCATTATCGATATTTTAGGAAAAGATTGCCAATAACGATGTCCTGTTTTTTTCTTTTCTTAATTTGAAAAAGTAAAATCAGGAAAAGATGAATCATCTAATCCACATATTCATATTAAATCAATCAATCAATCAATGAATCAATCAATCAATTTCCTAATAATATTCAATAATGATTTGTTTGACTATTTTATCTTTTCACTTTTCTGCCCTCTTTTGCTCTATTTTTTCTCCTCTTATTTCTAACATTATTTGCTTGAAAAATAATCGTCTAACGAAGTTAATTTAATTCATCACAACGTGTCTAAAAAAAAAAAAAAATGAAAAAAGTGAAAAGGAATGAGAAAATGAAAAAATGCATGTAAATATTGAAATAAACTTATATTTTCTAAAGTATCTTTTATTATTATTATCAATCATTCATTATCAGTGTATCTTATCATATCACACTGAAAAAAAAAAACATCAAAACAAAATATTCACACCAAATTAGCAATAATTTTCTTTTCTGCTCCATTTTTTTTTTTTTTATTTCAAACATTTCATTCATCTGAAATTTTCATTAATAATCTATGTAATTAGTAGAGGGAAGAGAATTGGATGCTATAAATGTTTTTGTTTTTTGTTGATTAGTTAAGAGGGAACATTTTATGGTAGAATATGAAAGGATTGGATGAAATATTAGGATAGGATAGGTGGATGGATGGAGAATAGAATAAATTGAGATAGACTGGAGGAATAGGATAGAATAGAATAGAATAAACTGAGATAGACTGGAGGAATAGAATAGAATAGAATAGAATAAACTGAGATAGACTGGAGGAATAGAATAGAATAGAATAGAATAAACTGAGATAGACTGGAGGAATAGGATAGAATAGAATAGAATAAAATGAGATAGACTGGAGGAATAGGATAGAATAGAATAGAATAAACTGAGATAGACTGGAGGAATAGGATAGAATAGAATAGAATAAAATGAGATAGACTGGAGGAATAGGATAGAATAGAATAGAATAAACTGAGATAGACTGGAGGAATAGGATAGAATAGAATAGAATAAAATGAGATAGACTGGAGGAATAGGATAGAATAGAATAGAATAGAATAAACTGAGATAGACTGGAGGAATAGGATAGAATAGAATAGAATAAACTGAGATAGACTGGAGGAATAGAATAGAATAGAATAGAATAAACTGAGATAGACTGGAGGAATAGAATAGAATAGAATAGAATAAACTGAGATAGACTGGAGGAATAGGATAGAATAGAATAGAATTGGATAGGATTAGGTAGGAAAGGATAGAATATAGAGAGATGGAATAAGATTTAAAGTGAGAAAAATTGATGTTCAAAAAAAGAATGTATGAAAAATTTTTTTTTTTTTTGTTTGACAATTTATATAAGAAAAGATTGAATGAATGAATGAATAAAAGGATGATGAATGAGGCTAAGAAACATTGGACAGATAAATGAGAGACATTAAGGCTTAAAAAGGAGGAAATTTGAAATTTTTGATAAGCTAAACGCAAATGGAAGAAGTCTGAGGAAAAGATGGATAAAACCATTTTAGTTTAGTTAGTGTCATCATTTCTCATTTTGTGAAGGAGGCAAAGAAAAGAGAAGGATTTTGTTCAAAAAAAAAAAGGAAAAAAAGTGGATTAGTGCTTACATATTGCTTAAATTTTGATAAATAATTGAAATTCCTCTTTGATCCCTTTTAATCTAAACTAAATTTCTGTTTGGTTTAAAATTTGATGCGCAAAAATATTGTTTATGCATATTGCGCAATAACAATGCGTCATTCCCTTTTTCAGCTTTCAACAATTATGCTAAAACTAAACTCAACAATAATCATTCATGTGAATGATTACTACTTTAAAGATTACAAATTATTTTGCCATTATTTGACTAAAACAATTTGCATAGCGAAAAATTTCTTTTTTGACTTTCTAAATAATAATTAATTTAATATTTTAAAATAGAGATAAATCTAATAATACAACTATAATGCAAAATGTTTCCAATAAATTTAGTAAGAGACTATATTGATTAATATGATCTAAGATTACTTTTATGAGAAAAAAACGAAAAAGAATAAAAAAGTATTTATCATCTTATCAGTTGATACTGCTAAAAATAATCAATCCTTCTATGATATCCTATGCACCCATATGCAAATGATAACAGTGAAAATTTTTTCTAAATTTAAAATTGCATAAATTAAAATGGAATTTTCAAATAAAACGACAAAAATGGACATTAAAAAAAAAAAAAAGAAGAAAAAAACGGAATGAATGTATCAATAACGATTTGATAGCATTGTCAAAAAGTTAATTTCAAATAAAACTTGGTCTCATTTTCATTCAGATTAACGGTGACAGCAACATGTCCCATGAAACTACAACTTTTCCCGATGGATTCACAGAAATGCAAACTTGAAATCGAAAGTTGTAAGATTCCTTTCTTTTTTCTCTAAATTGCTAAAAAAAATTAACTCACATTACTTTTGCATCATTTTTTCCAAGATGACCAAAAAATTTTCAGGTTTATTCATTTTACTGAAAATTTATAAAATTTCAAACTTTATTGTAATTTAATATTATTAATGCTTAAGAAAAAGAAAAATTCTTTCTTTTGAATCTAAAACAAAGTCTTAAATTGAGCACAGAAATGAAACTATCCTTTTTGCACCATAATTCAACTTATTCTTCAGTTTGAAAAATTATTTATAAATTAAATTTGTATTGTATGTTTATTACTAGATTTACTATAAGGTGCACCAGTGTCTTCTCTCAAATGTATTGTTTTAAATTTTGAATTGTATTATTATTTTTAAGTTGTAGAAAATTTTCAATTATGAAATTGCATTGTTTTTCATTTCTTTCTTTGGCATATTTGTTATTAATTTAGTTTTGCTTATCAATCAATGGAAGAAAAATATGATAAAAGATAAAATTCATTTTAGACAATTTTATGCTTATTTAAAATTAAATTATATACAATTGGTGAATATCTGATAGTAGCATTATATAAATTTATTTGAAACAAAATTCCGTAATGTTAGTAAATGCATTTGCTATTCATTAATAAGTATTTAAATTGTTTGAAATATTTGATCAATTCAATATCCTAAATTGTTATTATTATTTTATTGTTTATTGTCAACAATTGATAACTGTGATAATTGGGAATGTATCACTATTGAATGCTATTTAGTGTGCTTAAGAAAAATTATGATTATACGATAATGGTTTATGATAAACATGTTGTTATCAAGTTTCAAGTAAGTTTAATTTTTTTCATAAAATCTATTTTAAGACATGGCGCAAAATTTGAATGTTTAAGGTAAGCTTTAATTAAGCTTTAATTAATTTATGTGCCACTAATTGCTTCGCAGTTAATGAATGTATTGACCAGATAAAGTAACTCTAAATCATTTCTGATTTTAGAAAATCTTTTCGCAACGTTCAATTTAAATAATTACATTCTTTAATTTTCATCACTTCATCAAACAGTCAAATTGAAGAAGGAAGCTAAAAAATTTTTTAACTTTAATTTAAAAAAAAAAAAGATATCATAATGCTAATTGAATAATTTAGAATTGAAATAATAATTAACAAATTTTGAAATGTGATCAAATTTCATAACCTATTAGCTATCATTTTTCTTTCTTTTTTTGTTTTTCTGTTTTCAATTTTCGTTTTACTACTTTATTCCTTGTAATTTAATATATTTATCCATACGAATAACAAACGCTTTCCAAAAAAATTAAAAAAAAATAAATAAATTAAAAAAAAATGAAAAATTGTAATTTTAGGGAAAAAGTTCGAATTTGTTAAAAAACATCATACATATCATAGTAATACATATTAGTGATATTATTATTATAATTCTATTATTATTCTGATGCTTAACCTTAAATAACTTTGTTCATTTTTTTGTAATTTTTAACTAATAGTAATCAATCAGTTCATATTACATTATTTGATTTAAGTTAATTTGTTTCATTTCATATTGAGTAAAAAAGTATGTTTAAATGATTTTATATTTCTGATTATAGCAATCAACCGATTACTGATAGAATTATTAACTTAATAATCACTATTTTCTGGCATTATTATAGGATAAGTATTTCAGGACAGGGTCATCCGGTTTTTGTAGCGAATAATAACAAATGACCGTATCCCGAAAATACTTATCAATGATTTGATTGATAATTACAACAACTTATTCATTAATTATTTTTATTTATTGCTAGTTTTATTTTTCTTAAAAAAGCTTTGAAAGTTTAAAATATTACAACAAAAAAAATAAAATAAAAAAATTTGAGTTTTTTTTTTAAAGTTAACAATTGATTGTTAGAGTAATTTGTTAAAAAAAAAAAAATGAAATTATATTAGATTTATTGAAATTTATAATTAGAAACATATTTTTATAAAAAAAAAAAAGAATAGTAATAAAAATAATATTTGGTATTTTTTTTTATCTTTCAACATATCACTTGAAGTATTTTAAACTAATCAAAGCAACATTTATTTGCTTTTTTCAATTCCCAAATTACTAATTTAAATTCTCATAGCACTGCTTTTTTTTTTCTTCCTTATCCAAAATAATAAATTTAAATTTATTGCTTAATTTAATAATTCTTTTTAACATTGCTTTCATCATTTTATGCTTATATTTTAATGTTTATGTTTGTATTTATGTTTTTTGATTTATGTTATGTTTATGCTAATTATTACTGATATTGCTACTTACTGCTGCATACATTTATATATGACACTGGTGCACATTATTTTTCATTTTTTGTTGCATTTAATTTCAAAAAAAAAAAAAAAAAATCTCGAGAAAATATTTTAAAGACTTTTAAAATACAAAAATTTCCTTACATATTATGGTTTTTCGTTTTCAGATGGTTATACAACGGCTGATATAGCTTTATTCTGGGGCAAAGATCGTAGGGATCAGGGTCAAGTAGTCGGGTTCGAGAATATTTCGCTGCCACAATTTAAACCGGTCGGTTATCGGGTAAATGTTACCAGGGCAACTACTTCTTCAGGTTAGTTCCCTCTTATCTTTTTTCTCTTAAAAAAAAGTGATTCTAATTATCAATCTTATCATTTTTATTATTATTTATCAACAATAATGAAGATATGACATTGTTTTTTGATAATTTGATAAAAAAAATTAATTAAAAAAAAGTTAAAAAAAGAAATTTGAAAGTTGAAACAAAAGAAAAAAGATAAATTAGAATTTCAAAAATTTTTTTTTTTTTTTGAAAAGAAAAACATAACCAAAAATATTGTTATTTCGATCATTAAATGTTTGTTTTTTTATTGTTTATATAAAATGCATGAATAAATTAGTCATGTAATGGTAAAATACGATAAAAATAAAATTAAAATAAACATAACTTTTGCTGCAAATAAAAAAAAATCCTTCTAATTATAATTTAAAATTAAAAAACTAAATCAATAAATTTCTTTGTTTTTCTTTTTGTGATGTAATAAGAAAAAAAGAAAATTTTATAGTCAAAAAAAAAAAAAAATTGCTTATTTACTTTTTTATTTGTTCTTTCATTTTTTTTTTTTTTTTTCATATCTACCATTAAAAATTAAAAAATTTGTGATCCTTTTTTCTCCTTTTTTTTCTTCAATAAATTTTATGATTCATGAGAATATGAAAGTTTAGAAAGTTATTTTATCCTTCTTTTACTTTTGATAAATGTAAAGCTAAGCCAGAAGCTAGAAGCCAGAAGCCAAAAGCCAAAAGAAGAAGAAGAAGAAGCCTATATTAGCCTATTGGCCATGTTTATGTACCATTCAAATTTTATTTATCTTTTTTCCTCTTTTTATTCCATTCTACATGTGTATTTTATATATTTATTTATTTACATTTACATTTATATACAATCACATATTATTTATATATTTATTTATATATGGAAATTAGTGCTATTCACTCAGAAAAAAAAAAAAAAAAAATCAATCAACTATTGCTTTCAAATTTTCCTGAAAAGATAAAACTTAAAAAAAAAAACTGAGGGAAATATTTAAAATATAATGATAAGAAAAAAAAGGCAATGAATAAATTACATTAAAGATAAAATTATTTTTTTGTGATTTATTAAAAAAAAAAAAAAATTGCTGAAAATGAAATGAAAATGAAATTTCATTAAAATTATATTTATTGTAACAAATAAGTAAATGTTTGATTACAAAAAAAAAAAATGATGAGAGAGAGAGAGAGAGAGATGGAAATAAAGAAAGAGAGAGGAATCAATATATTCTAAAAAAATTTCTTTTTTTTTTTTTTTTTAGAAAAGGTTATTATTTATAAAGTTTCTTTTTTGTTCTCCTTTTTTTTTTGCAATAAAAATTTCAAAATAAAAAAAAAAAAAAAAATTTTTTTCTTTTTTTGTCTATTCTATTGTCTCATTTTTTTTTAACATTTCGAATAAGAAAAAGTTAAAAAAAAAAAAAAAAAGGAAACCTCTCAAGATAAGATAAACTTTTATATTTGAAATTATTAACGCTGAATGATTTAGTTGTAAAAAAAAATGAAATGAACAATTTTTGTTTAAAAATTACAATTAATTTTCGCTTCATTGCTCTATGCACTTCAATAAAAAGTAAAAAAAAAAAAAAAATTAAATAAATAAATAAGAAAAAAGGAATGAATGAAACGAAATAAAATGAAATTTGATGAAAGAGAAAAAAAAAAAATTAGATGTATTAGCAATAATTATTTGAAATTTAATGATAGTAAACAATTAATACAATAAATAATTAAATATACCTATTACAGGTGTATATGTTCGATTATATTTTGAAGTGCTGTTGGGTCGTAATCTTGGCTTCTACCTCATGAATATTATCATTCCTTCAATGCTTATTGTCACCATTTCTTGGGTATCATTTTGGCTTAATCGTGAAGCATCACCAGCACGAGTTGGCCTTGGTGTTACTACTGTATTAACAATGACAACACTTATTACTACAACTAATGTAAACATTTTTCTTTTTTTTTTTATTAAAATTTAACAAAAAATAAAGTTTTAATTAGTTTAAGTGATAATTATGAAAATTTTCGAAATTGTTAGCAAAAATTTCTCATAGTCTAATAAAATGTTTTATTTTTCCTTCTTTTTTCACTTTTTTTTAAAGTGGAATTAATAAAAAAATAAATTTAAACTACTAATAAAATTTGAATTCTTTTTTTTTTTGTAATGATTGAATTTTTAAGTATAGATATAAACGTTACTTTTCTAAATAAGTAATAAAATTTTGAAAACAAAAAAAATTATTTGATAATTAGCTAATTAATTATGTCTTATTTTTCAGAATGCAATGCCAAAAGTTAGTTATATCAAAGGTCTTGATGTTTTCTTGAATTTTTGGTTAGTTCTATAGCTAATAATAAGATAAATGCTAAAGCAAAAGAATGTCATAATAAATTGTAATATGAAATTAAAATTTTCAAAGATATTACAAATATTATAGCTTTTTTTAACTTATAAAAACCAAAAAAAAAAATAAATAAATAAATAAATAAATAAAAGGAATTTAAAATAGCAGAAAAAATTTGAAGATTGGCTGAATAAATTTTTTTAAGAAATAATTTTTTCAGTTTTGTAATGGTATTTGCAAGTTTAATTGAATATGCAGTAGTTAGTTATATGAATAAAAAATTGGCGCAAAGACGTGAAAGGAGACGTAAACAAGCGGAACAACGAATGCCTGTTGAAATGCCAATGTACGGTCAAATTACTTCTAGTGCTGAAACAAAAATGGTATTTTTTAATCTTTTCAAATTTCAACATTATATTTCCTTTTTTTTTTCTATTAATTTGAAACTCATAAGAAAAAAAAAAATAAATAATAAACTTTTTTTTTTTTCTTCAAAAGAAAAAACGCAAATTTAATGAAACAATAAAAAATTAGGGATATGAAAGAGTAAATATAATTTCAGTCATATCAAAATATGACTCTTATCAATGATACTTATGCCTCGCCGGGTAAATCCTCCATCAAAGTAAGTGATCTAAGTAGACCATATCATCATCAAATAGCGCTTAGTTATCACTCTATTTTAACCTACCCGTGCACACATTATCATTACTTTGCAAAAAAATTTGCAAATTAAAAAGATGAAAAATTTATTCGTACACAGGTAATTCATTTCACTAAGATAAAATAATTGTTTTAATAATAATTAGATGAAGCAATTATTTTAAAGATAATAAATTTAATAGCAGGTAATAATTATTATAATATTCATAAATATGAATATTAATTTTAGTGAATTTTTAAAATTTTGCAATAAAATATAAGCATTTTTTTAATAAATTAACTTTTAAATATCAGAAAACTGTTGGTTAGTTTTTAAAAAAAAATGAATTAATATATTATTTAGTTTATTTAGATTGTAATCATTAGAGTAATAGTAAAAAGTAAGTTTGGTTTCAAAAAAAAAAGAGAGAAAAAGTGATCCTATTGCAGCTAATTAAAATAAATAACAAACATGAAATTTGCACTTTCGATTAATAGCAAAAAGCTAATTAGCATCACGCTGCATGCAATAGCAAGCTAACGGTATTGTCCAAGGTGAACACGTAAATGTTTTCACGTAAAATGCATGAAATGTTTTTTTAATTATTTTATGCTTTAACACTTTTTTTTTTTTTTTTCAACTATCAAAATTTTCAGCAAATGGATACGTTCCTTGGTGGACCAAGTCAAAATCCTAACATTGTAAGCTTCTGTACTACAAATATTTGTAATTAAAAATACAAGTTAATTATATTTTAACTTAATAATAAAGAAAAATCCTATCATTTACTGATTAGCACATTTATTTTCTCCTTATCATTTATCAATTCATTTATCAGACATAGCTGTTTCTCAATTTCTTTTTTCCCTTTTTTTTTTGATTCTGTCATTATAAAATATTATTAGATATAAATTAGAAATGTAGAAAATTTTTAATTCTTTTTAAATTTAAATAAAAATATCAATTAATTAAATTTTTTTTTTTTTTTAATTTAATGAATGTAATATTAACAGAGTGTAACAGAAGCAATGATGCCAGAATGTGATTGTCGTACAATACCGCTCATACAGAATCCGAGATTGGTGACAGATCGAACATTATGGCCAGCGCCGTTCATGAAACCAAAACGAGCATCACGTACGTGTAGAAGTGTGACGCCGTCTAAAATTGATAAATGCTCACGCTTCTTCTTCCCTATGCTATTTTTCACTTTTAATTGTAAGTAATTTTTTTCTTTTCTTTTCTTTTCTTTTCAATATAATAAATTTAGCAGTTATCATTATTATTATTATTATTATTATTATTATTATTATTATTATTATTATTATTATTATTATTATTATTATTATTATTATTATTATTATTATTATTATTATTATTATTATTATTATTACTAATCATAAATAGAATAATTTTTGCTATAAAAACGAAAAAAAAAAGGGAAAAAAGATTATAATAATGATAAAATATGAAATGTTTATTTTAAAATAGAATAAAAAAATACATATGAACAGAAATAAATTCAATTTTATATAATAAAATTTTTTAAAATGATCAAAAATTTTTTAACATAGTATAATTTTCAAATGAAAATAAAAACTTTATAAGCAGCACAAGATGATTTTTGTTTCATTTGTTTCTTAAAATTGATATGAATAGAAGCAAATTTAATTTTAATTTATAATTTCAGTATTTTATTGGACAATTATGACAGTGCTTAGTTCATTCGTGGATACCAGTGAATATACATTATTTGATTAATAAAAAAAATAATAATAAATGTATATACATATATATATGCAAACAAATCAAACGAGGATAATCAAATGATAATCATAGTAAGATCAAGCCTATTTTTTTTGATCAATTTTTGTCGCTTTTTTTTAAAAATTAAATAAATAATTGAATATAAATGAATTAATTAATAATTTATTGTTCATGATTGATAACTGATAATTGATAATGTATATTGATGTAGTTGCAAATATATTTATTATTTCACTTTTGTGTTGCGTGATAATATGCAATATATAGGAAGCATAATGCATGCATGCATGCATGCACATGCATGCTTATTACTTTATAAATAATAATTATTGCTCTTTTAATTAACATTTTGTTTATAATTTGAGATTACTGTGGTAATTGTAATTTGATTATTTTGTTTTGTAATTTTTTAATTTATATATATATGTATGTATGTATGTATGAATAGACCTGGTGCATCTAGCCTTTTTTTTTTTATCCTCTATTTTCACTGAAAATTTTTTGTTTCTTTTTTTTTTTTTTTTTTAAATTATATTATATCAAAATGGATTGTTTACAAAATTTGCATAAGTATCTGCGAAATATAAATGATATGGAAAAAAAAAAAAGAAAGAATTAAAAGATGTAAATAATTTTGAAACGATAAATTTTTCAAAAAAAAAAAAGCATTTAATGAAGAAAAAGAAAAAAGAAAGAAATGAAAGATTATGTGTTCATTTAAAATAAAAAAAAAATAATATATAATTTTAGAATTAAGAAAGTGTTGCTCATAATTTAACATTACAAATTTAACTTTAACTTCTTATTTTAGATTTAAATTAAATTATTTTAAATTTCTGAAAAAAAAAGAAAGAAAAAGAAACGATTGATAATTTGACATTAAGATAAATATTTATTTGATTAAATTATATAAAATAATGATAAATTTTGTATGCAATCACATTTCAACAATAATTTCAGATTAAATAATTTTTCAAAAATTTTTCCTTTTCTTTAGGATTATTATTAATAAAAAGAAAAAGAATTATAAATAATAATAAAAAATAAAACAAAAGAAGAAAAAAGAACAAAAAAAATTGAGATGGTTATACTATTGCAACAATACATTATCATTGGTGTCAACTAAAAGATGTCCACTGTGAAGCAGCGGTCAAAGTTGAACCATTCGAATTGACCAGTTATCGATTTACCAGTTTATGCATTAATAAAACAATAGCAACAACTTCATCTGGTTTGTCTATTATTAATTCTTACTTATATTATTAAAATAATTTTTTATTTTTCAAAACTATTTCATTATAAAATTATAGATTAATTTTAAGATTAAAGTAAATAATATGGAATACTTTTTTTTTTTTTTTATTAAAAATTAGAAATGTCAATATATTTCATTGAAAATAATATCATAGATAGAAAAGCTTAATATAAATAAAAATTATTAGTTAATAAAAGAAATTATACTTTAAAAAAAAAAAAACATTACAATGTATATTTGATGGTTGAAAGCATTAAAATGTAAATGCATTAAATTTAAATTTTTTTTTCTTGTGCAAAAAAAAAACAATTGATTAATAATGAAATTTATTTAGGTTCTTATTCACGTTTATGGGCACAATTCTTATTCGAACGAGAATTTAGCTTTTACATGATTCAGATTTACATACCTGCAATACTTGTTGTCTTTATTAGCTGGGTATCATTCTGGATCAATCCTGAATCAGCTCCATCACGTACCGTTATTGGAACATTTACTATATTAAGTGAAACACATCTTCTGATGAGTACAAATAGACGATTACCACCTGTCTCCTACATTAAGGTTGCTTATTTCAGTAAGTTTCGAATAAAATTTTTCATTTTTATACATAAATATAATTTTCTTTTTAACATACATTTTAATTTAATAAATATTTTGTTATTTCAGGCTGTAGATGTTTATCTTGGATTTTGTTACTTAAATGTGGTATTAGCACTTATCGAATATGCTACTGTAACATATTCCAGAAAGAAATATGAAGATGAGAAGAAGAATAAAAGCAAAAATATTTTTGAACTTACACCGCAATTACAAGCACCAGATTTACTTCAAGGTATAAGTATAAAGAAGTAAAAATTGAAAAAAGAAAGAATTGTGAATAAATTTCATGCTAATAAATAAATTATTATAGATGCTCGTATAGATGAATGTACATGCGAACAAGATGTTTCGGTATTTGTGGTAGCTAAACCAAAATGTCCACTAAAATGTGCTACTTTTTGTAAGCATAATCGAGTGGATCTTATCGCTCGAATTGTATTCCCTGTTTCGGTTTGTTATCATTTCATCTTATCACTCTTCATCTTTGCTAATTTTCTGCAAAAATTACTTATTCTTATAGTTTATTAAAATTTTGTAACTTTTTTTTTTTCAACCATAATGTAAATTTTATCAAAAACTCAACAAACTGTTTACAAAACAAAGTGATCAGATCATCGAAAATACATCGAAAAAAAAAAGATCACCAACTGTATAAAAAGAAAATTAAACTAATAAGGTTAAATGAAACGATGTTAAACTGATTCCGAATTATTATTATATAATTATTTCAGTTTCTCACGTTCAATTTCATTTATTGGACAGTACTTCTCTCCTTATCAAAATGGAGAATATATGGAGATAATGCAGAACAAAGAGCATGTTAATATCATATCAAACATTTCTTATGGTTCCAAAATGCTAAGCAAGTGTTTGAGTGATGCTAAAGCCTTTCGACCACAAATACTTTGCGAAGCACTATTAAAACGTTTAAGTCTATCGCTTGCTTTCCAAAATTCAGTGTTGTTGCACAGTTCTTTTAATACTTCAGTCAAAGATTCTTGTAAGCGTTGCTGCAATGATTAAATATTAAATAAAAAAAGAAAAAAGAAAGAAATTTTGCAGTCTTTCTTCAATTTCATTTTGAAATATTTTCAATCTCATTTTGAGATATTTTGACAAACAGGAAATGTGACATCACTGGCGAAAATATAACTTAATGGGAGAAATAAAAATTGAAAAAAAAAATCCTTACTTTGCTTGATTCATCGCTAATTGAAATAAAGGAGGTAAGAACTCGAACCAAATATGCAAAAAATCGAGGTTTTGAATTATCAAAATTTAAATTTGAGAAGAATCTGCTCGCAAAAGAGCATAAACATTTGGCAATTTTTTTCCATATCTTTTGCCGATCAGGCTGTTCATTCTTCACCTATAATTTATCTTTTTACACTAGCTTCCGCCAAATTTGTTTTGCAAGTTTGTTGTCCTTTCAATTCGTCTTTCATGCAATCTTTCATTTTTATTTGATGCAGATATACTCTTGTACTCCTTCAAAATATCAAATTTCAATTTAAATGACTGACAACATCTCACTATGTAATCTAAAACCTAAAAACTTCCTTGCAATCTAAGCATCTGAAACAAATCTCGAACTTTTGTTAAAACTATCGTTTCAATTGATTCATCTGAATGGTTGCTCATATAATACTCACTGTTCAGTGCATCATCCGCATGAATAGTAGTAATATTGTGTGTGTGTGTGTGTGTGTGTGTGTGTGTGTGTATGTGTTCCAGCTTGTTTTTAAAATTTCTTCCCTATGCATTACAATTTCGTCCTCTTACATACAGTCTTATATAAGTGGTGCTTGCGCTATAATAAGTCCAATTACTACTAAATCGAAATTTGAACTTGCCAAACAAGAAAAGCGAAAGCTTAATCCACTGTATTTGCTTAGTGATTTTCAAAATTTAAATGTAACCTGCATAATTTTATCCTCAGTGTGACTATACATAAGAATCAAAAAAAAAAAACTTTTTCATTCCAGCAGAAATTATTTCTTCAACTTATATTCAGTGTGCCTTTGCAAACTTTTATTTTCGTATTATTTAATTTTAAACAGTTATAAAAATGCATATGAATAAATGCTACTGTTCTCGTTCTAGAAATTTCAAGTATCTGTTGTCACTAATAAATTAAATATCTAATATTTAAATATCTACAAAAATCTGAAAAAAAAAAAGAAAATAAAGCTTACCAAATCCTTCCGCAAAAAGGCCACTGTGCAAGATAGAGCTTCAATCTAAAAAAAAAAAAAAAGCGAAAATACAAATTCTGATTTGAGAAATATTAGTGCTTGAAGGAAAATAAATTGGCCTCTTGATGATACCAATACCAAATAGCAGTTGTTTGATGTGTAAGACTAGAGGATTTGAAATGAAAAATGAAACCAATGATTGATAGAAATCATTCATCCCACAAAGTACTAATTTCCCTACTGCGAAAGTTACAAATGCAAGCCTATACGATCTTTTGATCGTTATATGTGTTTGTTGTGAACAAAGATCATAAAAAGTAATAATTGCAAAAACAATCATAAAATAAATAATACAAATACAAAAAGATAGTTTTGAAAGTGATAAACATACTCTTTGAAATGTTCGAATATTTTCATTAAAGGCAAAATCGATGATTCGTGGAAGTTCGCTTAATAAAGCATGCTAGAAATTATAAATTATGAAACAATTTTTAGCAGAATGTTGTATTGACTCAGATTATATTAAGTTGAATTTTTAAATAATTTAAAAAAATTACCGGATACTTAATAAAAGGAGCAGTGACAATTTCGCTTAATATTTGATTTTTGTTATCATTCATGTATTTTTCCAACAATGTGATTACTTTTGTGCGCATATTCTCCGCAACATTATTTTCTTTTGCATCATAACAGCCTGAGAACTAAAACTGGCAAAGTAAAATAAACCAATTGATATTATATATGTTTTTGAAAAAAACAAAAAACAAAAGACTTACTAAAAAACTTGCAACACTGCCAAGAATATTCCTCATAACAGGATTTACAGTTTGTGATGTCTTCAGAACAAGTTCATCCAATAGTTTGACAGCATTCTTTTCATTTAACTCACTCTAAAATAAATATAAATAATGAAAATTTTAGCACAGAAAAATAAATATAGGCCGAATAGTATAAACAATATTTAATACCTTTTTATGCTTTATAATAATTTCCAACAAGTTTGTTGCTTTTTTGAAAGTTAGTTCACCATCTTTTCTACGTAGAGCTTGTTGAGCACACTCAATTAAAGGTAAAATAAGATCCTGCAAAACAAATAATTTTCTTACTGTTATTTCATTGCAAAAAAAAAAAAAAAAAAAAAAAAAAAAAAAAGAAAATGGATAATACCACTGTTGTGTATGCTGCATCTTGATGAGATACCGCTATCAATAATAAATCAAAACATTTAGCACGAAACTGTTGAGCCTGTTCTACTAAGAATGCACTTAGAGTTCGCGAATTTTTCATCCTTTTACGAAATACAGCTGCTAGGCCTTCATCCAGGCGAAACATTGTTTCATCACTTACTGTGGATGATACGCTGTCCTAGAAAGTAAATTCTTTTTTTTTTTTTAATAAATGGATCATTTAAAAGAGAATAAACTAAAAGAAATCAGAGATTGCCAAAACAAAGTTCATTTTTCAGAAAAGGCTATCGTTAACCTGGCATAATTTCAATTAAATAGAAATTTTTAAGAAACTCGTGTGACCTTATCACTGCCATCATCTGAATGAGCAGCAGCAGAACCAAGTGCTTTTTTCAGGTTATTGACAAATTCATGATCAACTTCAGTTTCTCCTTCATCTTCGTCTTCAAATTCAGACTCATCTGTCTCCTCATGTTCATTCGTAATATCGTCATTATTATTGATTTCTGGAATAAATTATTAATATAATTTATACGCTTTTCTTTAATTAACATAAAAATAAACATAAACTAATCAAACCACTGCTTTCTCCACTAGTTTGTTCAGAATTCTCAACACCATCCTCATCTTCATCTTCCTCATCATCGCTTTCGCTTACATTGCTTTCTTGCATTAATTCTTCATTGCTGAGATTGACAGTCTTCAAAAAGCAATAAAATATTTAGAGCATAATTTCAGGCATTAAAATTGCTGGATGCAAATTTCAATATATTATTATATATTACTAATTGATTGAAGTTAGTCAGATTTGAAAGTAAATGTAAAATATTTAACTTAATGGTTAATAAAAGTGAACCTCAAGAATCTGTAGAAGATTTTCTAGTTTCATCTGTGGAACAAACGAAGCAAAGACATAATGAATAACTGAACGATGATATCGATGTGGACGACTTAATAAAGAAAGCAATATATCATTTAGAACCTGAAAAGCATTTTACATAAATATATAAGCACAAAGAAATACTAAAACTAAACAATTACAATATATTTGAAATCATGACAAAGAAAATAAAATATAAAGATCATTCCAAAACAGTACAGAAAATGCAAAAGAGGAAAGAATATCACACATAAAATAGAATCAAAGCATTACATTGACATTCTACAACGATTCGTGTTTAGACAAACTGAAAATAAGATAATGTATGTTACCGCCACATTATTACTATTGTCGTTTTCAGCCATTTTTTCACCAACTGCTGCTATCTCCGCAAGATCTTTTAAATATGCATGACGCTCATTCGAATCAGATGTTGTAGCTATCCAAAGTGTAAGCATATTCATAAAAATGGATAAAGGTCTGCAAAAATTTTGATGATACTTGCTGCTCAAATAGAATAATGTAAATATAAGACAACTGCATGACGTCTTAATAATAATGCAAATCGATACCAAGAACAGTTTTCCTTTTAATATACAAATTTAAAAGATAGTTGAGGCCATATAAACGAATAAAAAAAATCACCCGCTAATCATAGGCAATTTAATTCCTGTGTCCTGTTTTTTGCTTAATTTTTGTAAGAACTTTTTGTGTTCTTCTTTATAAATCGCAGTCACATTTCTGCCTGCCCTTACACTGACAATGAATAAGGAAGCAACTGATGAACAAAAAGCATTGCGCATCTGAAATATTCGAAGGATTACGTCGTAAGAAGTAAATCAAAAAATAAATCAAAATCATTAAAACAAAAAATAAAGAAATTTCAAACCTTATTTTTATAAGATGCAACGGATAAATGGTAAGCCAATAAGTCAAAAAACTTACTTCCTCTGTCCACTTTCCGTGTTTAAATAATAGTTTCAAGACACTTTCTTGGATGTTTATTGGCCAATGCAGAAATACATTTGTTATCCGTCTTAATCTCCAACCACCTCCTTTCAGAGCCTATAAAAACAAATTCATTAGATTTGGTCAAAGAGAGAACAATTAAGTTTTGTAATATGATTCAATATTTGAAGCGTGTTAATTAGTAATCGATTAAATTTATTAATCACCTCAAGGATTATGTCCTGAACATCACTATGTAATTGCAGTAGAATCTTTTCTGTGATTTTAACATTTCCGCCGATAAATTCATCGAAATTTCCATCTCCAACGCGATCAAAATTGTCAAGTAATTTAGCAATGTTAGCTGAAGTCCACTCTTTCGAAGTAAGCGACTAAAATAGAATATCCTTTTAAAAACAAAAATCACACTTTCCTTTTTAAATCAACAAAATTACAGAAAAAAATCCGATTCAAAGAAGCTCAATTTATGAAAAAAAAAAAAAAAAGATGCAAAAAAACCTCTTTAAGAACAAGAAGAATAGCCTCAATCATGGAGAATAAGAAACGAAATTCGTTGCTCTTTCGTATCGATCTTAACAACTGCACAAATTCGG